AACTGCCACTGCCCATTGCTTCCCTGCTTGCAATTCTCATGAGGAGCCCTAGAGTTTAGGAGAAAGAAAATTCACTTGAAAAGGAGATTCAAGTTGGGTATGCTCCAAGGAGGGTGTGTACTGGCTTCTTTGTCTTGAGGAGTTTTTTTTTCCCCAAATCCTCACCCGAGGATATTTTTCCATTTATCTTCAGATAGAGTGGGAGGGAGAGAGAGAGAAACATCAATGTGTTGCTTCCCACATGACCCTGACCAAGGCCAGGGACCAAACTGAAACCAAGGTACGTGCCCTTGACAGGAATCTAGCTCGGGACTCTAGTCCACAGGCCGGCGCTCTAACTGCTGAGCCAAACTAGCCAGGGCTGTCTTGAGGAGTTTTATCTGCTTTCCAAAGGTGGGGGTTTTAGGGGAGGTTTCAGGGAAGATTTCAATAGAATATTCATCAGCTTTTCCAAGTGTGCCCTTTCAGGGTTGTGACCTCCACTGATTGGTCAATACCGGGGTCATTACCTATTGCGGCTGGTCCTGGTGTTGCCCGCCTGATTTTGCTATGTTTCTGGGCCTGGAGCTGAAATACAACAGAGGCCGTCCTGTCCCGTGGCTCATTTGGTTGGAGCGTCATTCTGTACACCAGGGGTGGGGAACATCCAGCCTGAGGGCCATATAAGACCCACGAAATCATTTGGTCTGGCCCAGCCAAGGCAGCCAGAGGCAGAATTCAAAATTCAGTAAGTCTATGAGCTTTTTTCTTTTTTTTTTTTTTTATCCTCACCCGAGGACATTTTTGCATTTATCTTCAGATAGAGCAGGAAGGAGAGAGGGAGAAAGAGAGAGAGGGAAACATTGATGTGAGAGACATCGACTGGTTGCCACCCGCACAACCCCAACTGGGGCCGGGGACAAACCGCAACTGAGGTATGTGCCCCCTTAACAGGAACCAAACCCAGGACTTTCTGGTCCATGGACCGATGCTCTAACCACTGAGCAAAACTGGCCAGGGCTAGGAGCTTTTTTCATAGCAACATAAATTTATATTGAGTGAATCATAATAATAACGTAAATTTTGAGGGACAACCAAGGAACGTCCATTATGGCATAGACAGGACACATATGAGTACATGATGGGACAGACACGTATGTTTCTCATTGGCTGCCTGTATTGCAGTGACTGAGAGGACAGTCAATGCCAGGAAGGCTAGGAATGTACACGTTGTGAAAATGTTCATGTTAATGTACTGCGGTGAAACTATGGAGATCTGGTGATGATAAGATGTGATGAGATGATTCCTCACGACATAGATGACCTTGACTCCAATGAATTGACGACAATGTTGTCAACTTCTTTGTTAACACAGACAATAACTCCAGTCCAACCTTTATCCACATATCCACAATCAACAATCCTCGCAAAAACTGAATCTCAGACAAAGATTAAGAAAATTACTGTACACAGAAAAGACCTCAAGATTCAATACCAACATTGGATATTTTCCAAATCCAGATGCAGGATTAGAACAGTGATCAAAGCAATATGATTTCGTCACTAGCAACACGCACATTGGATAGTTATTAAAACTTAAGTGGTGTGACATCTTATAAATGGCAACTACAAAGAAAAGTTGATGCAGAGTGCTTATCTTTCCAAGAGAAATAGACAAATGGATATTTCTTTTTGTTGAAGTTAAAGGCAAACTTGTCCCTAGTTTGTGACAATGCATTAGCAGTAACGGAAAAAGCCAGTCTGGAGCATCACTACAGTTTAAAACATGCTAAACTAACCGAATTGGAATCACAAAAAACCACTTTCATTAGGCCTCATTGTGACAGAGACATCGTTATTCAGACTAGTTATGTAGGGAACAAGCTAATTGCAAAGAAGCTGAGGCCTTGTGTGGAGGGAGAGTTTGTGAAATAGTGTATGGTAGCTGCTGCACAGTTGTTAGCACCAAAGTAAAAAAAAAATTTTTTTAATCCTTGCCCAAGGACATTTTTGCTTTCATGTTCAGATAGAGCTAGAGGGAGAGAGAAAGAAACATCAATGTGAGAGAGACACATCTACTGGCTGCCACCCACACGACCCCAACAGGGTCCAGGGACAAACTGCAACCAAGGTATGTGCCCAGGTCTCTCTGGACCGCAGGCTGACGCTCTAACCTAACCGCTGAGCCAAACTGGCCAGGGCTAGCCGGCTAATTTTTAAGTTGGTAATTTTGTATGGCCTGCGAATGGTGTTATAAATATCCAAAAGGCCCTTGGCAGAGAAAAGGTTCCCCATCCCTGTTGTACGCTAAAAGATTTAGGGTTTGGCCCTGGCCGGTTTGGCTCAGTAGTCGTCCTGCGGACCAGAGAGTCCTGGGTTTGGTTCCCGCTACGGGCACATACCAAAAAAAAAAAAAAAAAAAGACTTAGGGTTTGATTCCTGGTCAGGATACATACCTAGGTTGTGGGTTTGAGCCCGTTCAATAAACAACTGATCGGTGTTTCTCTCTCTCAAAAAATAAAAAAATACCTGATTTAAAAAAAAACAACACAGAGAAATACAACTCAGGCCTAGATAGCATAGATGTTATCTCTAAGGAGGAAAGGTCAGGGGAGGGTCTGAACTGAACCACATGACCGTCTATGTGAAAGGTCAAGGGATCTAAAACACATGACCAGCGATAGGCCAGGACAGGAAAGGCCACCCTGAGGGTGAGGTCCTGTACCAGTTTTGCCTATTTCTAGGCATCTGGGGTTTTCTGCCCTAGTGACCTTATGTATCTGGCTGTAAATTGCCCAGCCAGACCAGTTTGTGCAGTTACCTGTCTCAGTTTCCCCATTTCACTTGCCAAGGAATTTTTCTAGCTTCTTACTATCCTGCCTCAATTCTGTTCATACTAGTGATTCTCAAAACTGGTTCTTCGAACAGGGTTGGTTTGGTGTAGCGTTTTTTCTTTGGTTTTATTTTGTTTTCAAGAAATGAATTTTCTCATTTGAATTGTAAGTGTATTTATTATTTTATCTTTTGTTTTTCTTTTGTTCTTGCATTTTGAGGCCTATGAGTATTAATTTTAGATGAATATTGCTTCATCTGAACTACTTGGTACTTAGTTGGTGGGAAAAATAACTAACATCGCTTTTAAATGTCCATATCTGCTGGGTCTAAGAAGTTTGACAAAGTTCTCACCTGTCTCTGCTGAAATGTGAAAATACAATGTAATTAGTTTTTTCATAAAATCAAATTTAAAAGACTAATTTATTCTGGGTTTTTTGTCCTTAGTTTTTTGGGTGTTTAAATAGTGAAAATAGAATATACAGCAATTGTGTGGATGGTGGTGTTCTTTTTCATCCTCACCTGAGGATATTTTTGCATTTATCTTCAGATAGAGTGAGAGAAAGAGAGAAAAATGTTGATGTGAGAGAAATACATCAACTAGTTGCCACCCACATGACCCCAACTGGAGCCAGGGACGAGCTGCTACCGAGGTACGTGCTCTTAGCGGGAACCAAACCTGAGACTCCCTGGTCCACAGGCCGATGCTGTACCCACTGAGCCAAACCAGCCAGGGTGTTTTCTGTTTTTTTAAATATTTTTTCTTTATTTATTTTAGAGAGAGAGGAAGGAAGAGGGAGAGAGATTTAGAAACATCAGTGAGAGAGAACATCGACTGGCCTCCTCCTGGGGATTGGGCCCACAACCTGGGCATGTGCCCTGACCGGGAATCAAACCAGTGACCTCTTGGTGTATGGGTTGACGCTCAACCACTGAACCACACCAGCCGAGCTGGTGTTTTTTTTTTTTTTTAATATGTTCGTATTAGCCCTGGCCGGTTTGGCTCAGCAGTTAGAGTGTCGGCCTGCGGTCCAGAGAGACCCGGGTTTGGTTTCCACTAAGGGCACGTACCTCGGTTGCAGTTTGTCCCCGGCCCTGGTCGGTTGTGCGGGTGGCAGTCACTCGATGTGTCCCTTTCGCATCGGTGTTTCTCTCTTCTCTCTCTGTTCCTCTCTCTCCCTCCCACTCTACCTGAACAAAAGATGGAAAAATGTCCTCGGGTGAGGATAAAAATAAATAAATAAATAAATAAATAAATAAATAAATAAATAAATAAATAAAATAGCCTGCTTCAGAAAAGGAACAGTGAGTGACAGGACACTTCACCCGTTCCTATTTACTTCTTTTTCTCAACCATTCTGTTAGATGTTGGCTTCTACGAAGATTACCAAATCTTTAATTTTTTTTTCTTTATTGATTTTAGAGAGAGAGAAAGGGAGAGGGAGAGAGAGATAGAAACATCGATGAGAGAGAACATCGATTGGCCACCCCCTATATGCCCACAACCTGAGCATGTGCCCTGACTGGGAATCGAACCGGCGACCTCTTGGTGCATGGGTCGATACTCAGCCACTCAGCCACACCGGCCGGGCAAAGATTACCAAATCTTAAGAGTAACTTTGGGGAGGAGAGTGAAGGATCTTAATGTGTGCGTTTCCAGAGCCTCAGAAACCTCCAGGTTCCTAGGATAGATCAGATCTTAAGTGGAATCACTGTTTGGTGAGAGTTGGGTTTTCTTAATTTTTGTGGTATGTAAGAGCTTTAACAGTAGTTGTGGAAAGGCTGTGGAAGGGGACTGGGTCTAGCAATTTAAAGGGAGACGAAAATTAGTTCTCCTCTTTCTCCAAAAGGCTGCGGAGCTCTCTAAGGGTAAAAGTCTACGAGTTGGTGCCTTTCTCTAACCAACCTTTCTTTCTACTTGACTCTGAGACAGACTGTTTCTATGGTTTCAGATCCAAATTAGAGTCTGGGACAGGTGCTTAATTCTTAGGCTTGGAGCCGCTTGGGTTTTGATCAGGTAGAAGCCTTAACTAAAAGCTTTCCCTGGGACTGGAACAGCACTTTTGGTTCTGACAAAAGTGAAGCATTTAAGGATCTTATTCAGAATACTTGGAGCATTGGGCCCTGTCCTGTTCCCCTCTCCCTTTCGTGGACAGGATCCTACAATTGTTCTTTCCCTGTCTCTGCAGGACTCATCGTTTTTGTCTCCCCTGTCTCCACCTGCTTTACATCTTTATTGGCTGCTCCACTGATGCTTGGACTTGTACACGATGAATTGTGAACTTCTAGCTACATGTAGTGCCCTTGGGTACTTGGAGGGAGACATTTACCACAAGGAACCAGATTGCTTAGGTGAGTACCTTTTTGAGGAAACAGGTAAAAAATTTGCTTGAGTTGAGGAGGTCTGCTGAAAAGTATTTGGGCCCTGGCCAGTGTGGCTCAGTGGATAGCGTGTCAGCCGCCACAGGGAAGGGTTGCAGGTTTGATCCCAACCCTGGTCAGGTCACATAAGAGAGGCAACCAATCAATGTGTCTCTCTCATAGATGTTTCTCTCTGTCTCTCTCTCTCTCCCCGTCCTGCCCTTCCACTCTCTAAAATTTAATGGAAAAAAGTATCCTCGGATGAGGATTAACAAAATAAAAGAAAAGTACTTGGGCCTGGGTGGAGCTTCTTCTAGGGATCCATAAAAGTGTTTGTTCTGTCCCTGAAGAGAGTGTGAAGGATTTGATCCGCTACTTGAGGCATGAGGATGAGACTCGAGATGTGCGGCAGCAGCTGGGGGCAGCCCAGATCCTGCAGAGTGACCTTCTCCCCATCCTTACCCAACACCGCCAGGACAAGGCTCTCTTTGATGCTGTTATCAGGTTGTTTCCCCAGCTTTTTAACTTTTATCATGTGCCAGCATTTGGTGTTTGATCTGATAGATTTTGGTGTTTGTGCCTGGCAAGGAAACTTAACAACTTCTTCCTCCTTCATTGTTTCCCCAGGCTGATGGTGAACTTGACACAACCAGCTTTACTCTGTTTTGGCAGTGTGCCCAAGGAGCCTAGCTTCCGACACCATTTTCTGCAGGTGCTGGCTTATTTGCAGGCCTACAAAGAGGTAAAGTTCTCCTTCAGAGCCCCTGAGGCAGAATTTGGATGTAGTAGGGAAGGAGAGGGTGGGAGCTACTTAAAGTCCATTCCCTTATTTTATAGGCCTTTGCCAGTGAGAAGGCTTTTGGGGTCCTCAGCGAAACCTTGTATGAGTTGCTGCAGCTGGTGAGTGAGTGTCCACCTTCTAAAATCCCAAGGACCGCCCTGGCCGGTTTGGCTCAGCAGTTAGAGTGTCGGCCTGCGGTCCTGAGAGACCGGGTTCGGTTCCCGCTAAGGGCACGTACCTCGGTTGCAGTTTGTCCCCGGCCCTGGTTGGGTCGTGTGGGTGGCAACCACTCGACGTGTCCCTTTCACGTCGATGTTTCTCTCTCTCTCTCTCTCCCTCCCCCCCCACACTCTATCTGAACAAAAAATAGAAAAAATGTCGGATAAAAATAAAAATAAAAAATAAAATAAAATAAAATCCCAAGGACCATTAGCACCTTGTTCCTCCTTTGGGTAGAACGCCAGGTTGGGCATTGTCAGGACATGCTGAGTTTGGAGATTTGGTCCCAGTATTGTGAATACATAGTCCAGTCTATTGTCTGTGGCTACTTTAGGACTTCTTGAAGTCTTTTTCTTTCTTTCTTTTTACTGGTACAAGCAAAAGTTTATTTAGAAAGTCACAGATAGAAAAAGAGAGCCAGTGGGGCTGCATGAGCTCAGGAAACAAGTTACAGAGGCAAAAGAAGACCCTTGGAGCTTAGGAGAGAGAGAAAACACCTTGAGGGAAGAAAAGGAGGGAAGGTGTGGTGCTCCAGAGAGAGAGAGAGAGGGTGTTCCCTGGGAAAAGAAGGGGATGGGGAAAGCATGGGTGTGTGTGTGTGTGTGTGTGAGAGAGAGAGAGAGAGAGAGAGAAGCCTGAGAGAGCTCTTTTCTTACTTTTCAGTCCTGATTCTCCTCTGTGCTTTGGTCCCCTGGCCAGGTTAGATGTTTGCCTGGCCCTGGCCGGTTTGGCTCAGCGGTTAGAGAGTCAGCCTGCGGTCCAGAGATGTTTGCCCACCTTCTACAAAGAGTCTCTTCCTCTAATTCTTCTTCTAACTAGGGCTGGGAGGAACGGCAGGAGGAAGACAATTTGCTGATTGAACGCATCCTGCTACTGGTCAGAAATATTCTCCACGTTCCAGCCGATCTTGATCAGGAGAAGGTGAGAAAAGGTCTTAGGTTGTCTGAGTTCTTGTGCTTGGTTAGATTGAGCTACCCTCTTTTGCTTGTGTGTGTGTGTGTGTGTGTGTGTGTGTGTGTGTGTGTCCTCTGACAAGTCTCAGGGGGAACCTTGGTCAAGGAATGAGTTGGAGAACCTCACAGCAGGGCAGTGGAACTGGCTGACCTCCCTCTCTCCTCTCACCCCTCAGAGGATTGATGATGATGCCAGTGTTCATGACCAGCTTCTCTGGGCAATTCATCTCAGTGGCCTGGATGACCTGCTCCTCTTCCTGGCCAGCTCGCCCACTGAGCAGCAGTGGAGCCTACACGTGCTAGAGGTCATTTCCCTTATGTTTCGTGACCAGGTGAGACCCTGGCCTATTGCCCCAGTGCCTTCACTCGTACACTTTTCTGCTATGCAGCCAGAATTCTGCATAATGGCTGAGTTCTCTGGGGGAAGGTGGATGACAGACGGAATAGCCATGTCTTGAGTATGGGGTTCCGTCAACAATCCTATTTTGTTCACTCTTTCTGTCACCAGTAGGAGTGGACTCAGAATAAACAATGACTATTTTTCTGACTCTTCCCTCCTGTTCCAAATCTAGAACCCTGAGCAGCTGGCGGGAGTAGGACAGGGACGCTCAGCTCAGGAACGAAGCACAGATGTGGCAGAACTAGAGGTGTTGCGCCAGCGAGAGATGGCAGAAAAGAAGACTCGAGCCCTTCAGCGAGGCAACAGGTGAGTGGTGTGGAACTGCTATAGCCGTGTCCCCATTCCTGCACTATGAAATGCTGTGGCCTGGGCCAACTTCTAAGACAGTGGTGACCATTTTACAGTTATAACACATTCTAATGTGCTGATAAAAAGAGAATGGGGATAAAACTTCCAAATAATTGAGTAATCACTATGAATGTTTTTGTTCTCACTGCAGGCATTCTCGATTTGGGGGCTCCTACATTGTCCAGGGGTTGAAATCCATTGGAGAGAGGGACCTCATCTTTCACAAAGGTCTCCACAATGTGAGTATGCTCCCATCTGGGGTGGAAATTCCACATTGTGGAGTTGGGGAGCCGAAGAAGGGTAAATGTCTCTGGAGGTAAAGATTCTCTGTTAGGGGGCTTCGAGTTGGAGACAGTGGGAGAAATAGAACCTCTGGCATTATTGTCTTTACCTCTATCTTCACTTACTTCCAGAGGGAGAGAACTTTCTTAGTTTCTTTTGAGAAAACTGCAGAACCAGGGATGTAGAAAGAGCTGCAAGCAGAGGGTGGTGGTTGGGAGTAATTCTAATCCCCAATCTATTCCCCTAGCTCCGAAACTACAGTTCAGATTTGGGAAAGCAGCCCCGAAGGGTGCCTAAACGTCGCCAGGCTGCCCAGGATCTGTCCGTTCAGCGCCGCTCTGCCCTCAATGTGAGACTCTTCCTCAGAGACTTCTGCTCTGAGTTCCTGGAGAACTGTTATAACCGGCTCATGGGCTTGGTGAAGGTGAGAGCCTAGGAAAGATGGAGTAGAGAGGTCATGGGGCCTCTGGGGGAAGAGCCTATGGAAGCTGACCCTGGAGTGTGGACTCGTAGGTAGGAAGGGTGTAGGATGCTCCCGAGAAATGGTGATGGTGTCAGAAGAGGAGCATGTTAAAAGTCTCAAGAGCTCTGGCAGGTTTCCCTCGGCAGTAGAGCATTGGACCAATGAGTCCCGGGTTTGATTCCGGCCAAGGGCATATACCTCAGTTGTGATTTGTTCCTGGCCCTGGTCGAGGACCTGCAGGAGGCAGCCAGTCAATGTGTCCCTCTCACATCAATTTTTCTCTCTCTCTCCCTTTTTCTCCACCTGAAGATAAAAAGAAAAGTATCCTCAGGTGAGGATAAAAAAAAAAAAAAAAAAAGTCTCTCAAGAAATCACTCCAGAGGAAGGGGAGATGAATGTGGAGAAATGGGGGAGAAGGAAGGCTTGGAAATTGTGTATCCTAGAATATTGTTACAGTGGTGTCCAGGGTCTACCCCATTATCATAGGATGGGGAGGAAATTGGAAGCCCCGAGGTCATGGAATGGTCTTTGTTTCCTGGATGTTAGGATAACCTGCTTCGGGAGAAAGCTCAGCAGCATGATGAGACCTACTACATGTGGGCCTTGGCTTTCTTCATGGCCTTCAACCGGGCTGCCTCCTTCCAGCCAGGCCTGGTCTCTGAGACCCTCAGTGTCCGTACCTTCCACTTCATTGAGCAGAACCTCACCAACTACTATGAGATGATGCTGACTGACCGCAAAGAAGCTGCCTCCTGGGCACGCCGGTGAGTGGGATGAGAATTGGAATCAGAATGGACATATTGGCCAGGCTAGGACTCTGAATGCCTGAATTCTGGATGGTCCTTTCTTTTCTGTTTCAGGATTCAGGTGGTCAGGCTGGGAAGCAAGAACTAGTTGGACCATTCAGTTTTTGATGGCACTATTTTTGGGGGGAGTGGTACTGTTTCCATGAGCCTATATCCTACCTAAGTTGTCCTCCTCTTTCCCTCAACTCTCAGGATGCACCTGGCTCTGAAAGCCTATCAGGAGCTGCTGGCCACAGTAAATGAGATGGACATGTCACCAGAAGAGGCTGTGAGGGAGAGTGGCCGCATCATCAAAAGTGAGGCCCTGGCTTGGTCCCTGATCCTGGCCTTCCCCATCTCTTGACCAGTATTTTACTCTTCCTAGTCCCAACTTCACCCATCTCCTTTTCCTACACTTTCCAGACCAGTTCTTCCAATCCTTTCTTTTCCCTATCTCTAGACAACATTTTCTATGTGATGGAGTATCGAGAACTATTCCTGGCACTCTTTCGAAAGTTTGATGAGAGATACCAGCCCCGCTCTTTCCTTATTGACCTGGTGGAAACCACTCACCTCTTCCTCAAGATGTTGGAGCGGTTCTGTCGGAGCCGAGGGAACCTGGTGGTGCAGGTACTGGGCAGTCTCAGGATGTGAAAAGAGATGGGAGGGAAAGTGGGAGGACAGGGGCTCTTTCTCCTCACATTTTCTGTATGTTAAACTGATCTGTTAGAACTACTCTGAACTAAGAGGGTGAGAGATGTTGCTGATGTGAGTCTTTTGTAGTTTTTATTCCTTTAGTATATTAATCCCTGATGGACCACAAATGTCTTAGTTCACTCAGGAAACATTTATAGAATGCTTACCGTGTGCTAAGCACACAAAATCTGAGGGTTCATAATATTAGAGTTTAGTAATTGTGCTGTGATATTTCCTGGTTATAACTTCTGAAGCACTGCAGTGAGATGGAAAGAGCCTTAAACTGAAAGGTGGAAGGTCTGGGATCTCTTCCTGTATCAGTTGCTATTAGAATAACTCAAGCTGCTCGCGTCAGTCTCATAGCCCTAAAGTTGGTTGTAGTATCTGTCCATGAGTTCAAAGTGACATATAAATGAACAGTCTGCACAAGAAGAAAACCTCAAGAAATCTGTATTCTGGAGACACAGGGACTCTGCTTTGTAGAATTTTTCTATAATTCTGTTTGCTACGGCTTAAAGTTCGGTCAGAACTGGACTTGAAAGGGGCAGTAATATCAATGAGACTTTCCGAAAAGGTATTTTTACACTCAGGACTCTATTGTATTATCAGCAGTGATAGGTGATATAATTTATTGGGTGCTTACTATATGTCAGATATTGTGCTCATTTTCTTGTAATACACCAGCACTAGGACATATGCACTGAGTGGTTAAAAGCTTGTTCAAGGTTTACCAGTAAATGACTAGCATCAATGTACTTAACTCCAGATATGCTGGGCTCTAAAGATCAAGCTCTTAACCTTTGTTGTGTTTAATTTTAAGTTCCTTGAATAGAGTATGAACCTTAAGGGCTTTGTAGTTCATCCTATTTGCCCATATAAGACTGGTTCACAGCTATGACTTGGGGGAGCAGGAACAGGATATTGATGGTCTCTCCTGCTTTTCAGGAGAAAAATTGTAGGCTATATTTACAAAGTGCTTTGCATTTTACAAAGCCTTACCATGTAGAATTTCTTATCCTCATAGCAAATCTGTACATTCCATGGACTTGTGCTTAAGATATCACTGCTTTTGGGAGACCTGACCCCAAGAAATGAGTCAAGTGCTGTTCCTATGTTTTTCTGTGGCATTTTCTGCTTGGCCCCATCCTATCCACACTGAAATGTAATCTACCTGCCTCCCCCACTGGGCTGTATGTTCCTCAAGGGCAAGGAAATATGCTATTCACTTGCTTCCCCATTGCCTTTGAGTAGCACATAGTGGTCACTCTGTGAATGACTAATTAATTTAGACATCTAATTAATTAATAATAGAGAAGGCATTGATGGGGAAAGGCCTTCTTAGCTCTCCTGCCATTCTAACACATCTCTCTCCATAGAACAAACGAAAGAAGAGAAAGAAGAAAAAGAAGCCCGTTGCTTCTGGTAATGTCCCGTGTAGCTCAGGGGAACTGGAGGCCCTGTGGCTATCCCTGGCTGAGCAGCTACAGTGCTGTACCCAGGTAGGTAGTTACAGAAGCCCTGTCTTTCTCAAGGGTAGTGCTATGGGTTGGCTGTCTGGGTTTTCCTCTTCTCTGTTCCCATAACCTTAATCCCTCGCTAGGATCCTGAGCTCAGTCTGGACTCCATGGTTCCCTTTGATGCGGCCTCAGAGGTGCCAGTGGAAGAGCAGCGGGCAGAGGCCATGGTGCGGATCCAAGACTGTCTGCTGGCTGGCCAGGCCCCACAGGCCCTGACTCTCCTTAGGTCGGCCCGGTAAGAACCCTGCCCACCCACCCTTCCAGATCCAGCTCCTTGGTTTTTAGGGGCAAAGGGAGACTTTTACTGTGTTACAGGGTTGTCAGTCTTCAGAGAGAGAAGTTCCATCTGAAGAGCTGGGACTCTGTACTGAGTCGGGAGACCCCGACCAGGTCCAGGGACCGAATTGCAACCAAGGCATGTGCCATTGACCAGAATGTAACCCGAGACTCTTTGGTCCTTGGGCCAATTCTCTAACTGCTGAACCAAACTAGCCAGGGCAAGTTTTTCTTTTTTCTTTTTATTGATCTTAGAGGAAGGGAGGGAAAGGCAATCAGTCAGTTGCCTCCTGCAAGTGCCCCGACCGGGGATCATATCTGAAACCTGGGTTTGTGCCCTGAGAACCCACTGCCTTAATGGAACAATGCTCCATCCAACAGAGCCACACTGGCCAGGGCAGAGCTGGGGAGTTTTGATTGGTCTGTTGGGGGTTTTGTTGTTTGATAAAACAAAAACAAAAAGCACAGTTAATTGGGGGGAAAATAAACATAATCTGTGAGCCAAAGATAGCCATCATTAACATTTCGATGAGTTATTATTCAGAATTTTTTTCCTCTGTGTTAGATAATAGACATGTCATATACACCTTTTATAAAAATGAAATATTACATATACTGAGGTATAGTATTTTTTTATTTCTCGATATATCATAAGCAGCATCATTTCTCATCAAATATATTTATAATTGTTAATGGCTTTAAAACAACATTGTTGCCTTGGCCAGGGTGGCTAAGTTGGTTTGAGTATTGTCCTATACACCAAAAGGTTGTGGGTTTGATTCCCATTCAGAGCACATGCCAAGTTGTGGGTTCAATCTCTTGTTGGGGTGTGAATGGGAGGCAACTGAAGGATGTTTCTCTCACATCCATGTTTGTTTCTCACTCACTCTCCTTTCCTCTCTCTCTCAAATGAATTTAAAAAAAATATACCTTGCCCTGGTCAGTTTGGCTCAGTGGTATAGTGTCAGCACGCAAACCAATGAGTCTCAATTCAATTCCGGTCAAGGGCATGTACCTCGGGTTGTAGTTTGTCCTCAGCCCTGGTCTGTGTCGTGTGGGAGGCAACCAATTGGTGTGTCTCCCTCTCACGTAGTTGTTTCTCTCTCTCTCACTTTCTCTCCCTCCCACTCTATCTGAAGAATAGAAAAATAGAAAAACTCTAAATAGAAAAATATCCTTGGGTGAGGATTAGAAAAAAATATATATCTTCAGGTGAGGATTAAAAAAAGATTTAAAACACCATTGTATGAATATGTACATTTGTTCAAGCACATGTCAAACATTTAGATTGTTTGCATTTGTTCTTACGTGGCTTATAAGAAAAAATTTCCCTAGAGTCTTTTTTTTTTTAACTTACCTTTATTGTTGAATCTATTACAGATGTCCCCTCTTTTTTCCCCCATTGATCTCCTCCTCCCCAATCCCGCCCCCCTCCTTCCTTCCCCACACTATTGTTCGTGTCCATTGGTTATGCATATATGCATAGCAGTTCTTTGGTTTGTCTCTTTCCACCCTTCCTCCCCCCTTCCCTTAGAGGTTCATCAGTCTAATAACCAATTTGAACTTCTCCTTTTTTTTTTTTTTTTTAATCCTCACCCGAGGACACTTTACCATTTTTTGTACAGATAGAGTGGGAGGGAGAGGGAGAGAGAGAGAGAGAAACATCGACGTGAAAGGGACACATCGAGTGGCTGCCACCTGCATGACCAACCAGGGCCGGGGACAAACTGCAACCGAGGTACATGCCCTTAGCGGGAACCGAACCCCGGTCTCTCCGGACCGCAGGCTGATGCTCTAACCGCTGAGCCAAACCGGCCAGGGCCAATTTGAACTTCTTAATTCATCTTCATCACCCATTCCCCCAGCCCCTCCCATTTGGCAAGCAGCAACAAGTTCTCTGTATCTGTGAGTCTGTTTCTGTTCTGCTTGCTCATTTTGTTTGTAGATTCAATTGTTGATAGATATGTATTTATTGCTATTTTATTGTTTATGTTTTTGTTCTTTTCCTTCAAGAAGACCCTTCAACATTTCATATAATACTGGTTTGCAACCGAGTGATAAGCTCCTTTAGCTTTTTCTTGTCTGGGAAACTCTTTATATGTCCTTCGATTTTAAATGATAGCTTTGCAGGATAGAGTAATCTTGGTTGTAGGTTGTTGCTTTTCATTACCTTGAATATCTCTTGCCACTCCTTTCTGGCCTGCAAAGTTTCTTTTGAGAAATCGGCTGACAATCTTATGGAGCTCCTTTGTAGGTAACTAACTGCTTTTCTCTTACTGCTTTTAAGATTCTATCTTTGTGCCCTGGCCGGTTTGGCTCAGTAGTTAGAGCATCGACCTAGAGTCCAGAGAGACCTGGGTTTGGTTCCCGCTAAGGGCATGTACCTCAGTTGCAGATTGTCCCCGGCCCTGGTTGGGCCATGCAGGTGTCCCTTTCACGTTGATGTTTCTCTCTCTTCCTCTCTCTCCCTCCCACTCTATCTGAAGAAAAAAAAAAAAAAGATTCTCTCTTCGTCTTTAACCTTTGGCATTTTGATGATGATGTCTCTTGGTGTGGACCTCTTTGGGTTCATCTTGTTTGGGGACTGTCTGTGTGTCCTGGACTTGTATGTCTGTTTCCTTCACCAAGTTAGGGAAGTTTTCTGTCATTATTTTTTCAAATAGGTTTTCCATTTCTTGCTCTCTCTCTTCTCCTTCTGGCATCCCCAATGATGCGAATGTTGGTATGCTTGAAGTTGTCCCAGAGGCTCCTTACACTGTTGTCATTTTTTTTTTTAATTCTTTTTTCTTTTTGCTGTTCTGATTGGGTGTTTTTTGCTTCCTTATATTCCAATTTGATGGTTTGCTTCTTGGCTTCACTTACTCTACTTTTGATTCCCTGTAAATTATTCTTTATTTCAGTTACTGCATCCTTCATTTCTGACTGGTCCTTTTTGATGTTGATGATATTCTCACTAAATTTCTTGGAGTTCTCCTTAAATTCTTTGAAGGTCTCACTAAGTTCCTTGAAGGTCTCATTAAGTTCCTTGAGCACCCTTATAACCAGTGATTTGAATTCTGCATCTGACTGATTGCTTATCTGCATTTTGTTTAGTTCTTTTCCTGGAATTTTGTACCATTCTTTCATTTAGGACATGTTTCTTTGTCTCATTTTGGCTGCTTCCCTGTGTTTCTTTTTATGTGTTAGGTAGAGTTGCTTTGTCTCCTAGGCTTTGTAGGGTGGCCTATTGTTGTAGGTGTCCTGTACAGTCCAGTGGCACAGCCTCCCTGATCACCCCAGCTGAGCCCTTGAGGTGCACCCCTCATGTGGACTGTACACCCTTCTGTTGTAATTAAGTCTTGGTTCCTGTTGGCCCGTCAATGGGAGGGTTTTACTCAGGCTGATCAGCTGCAAGGACTGGCTGTGCCCACTGAGCACTGGCCTTTGACTCCCTTGGATAATCAGCTGTTCAGGGGCCCAACATACAGAGCAAGACTTACTTCAGCAGGGCTCTGGTACCCACTGAGTCCACTCATTGAGGTGGTTGGGTGGAGGTACTTTGATGTGGTCTGAAGCTGTCCACTGAGTGTGCTGGTTCTGGGGCAAGGTCAGCCTCTGCCTGTGTTCTACCCAGGGTCACCCAGCATAAGCTACGAAGTGATCTGCAGATGGCTGCTTATTGTGCTGGGCTTGGAGGTGCCCAGGAAAAGCCAAGTTGTAAACCAAGGCTGCTGCTTCTAGTGCCAGAGAGGTGTAAGGTTCACTGAGACCAGATGCTGCTTGTTTGAGAGATTTTAGGAAAATCTGAAGCAGGATCCAAGACATGCCAATGCTATGGTAAAGCCTTTGGAAACAGCTTGGGTGGGCCTGAAAGTTGGGTGGGGCAGGGCCTCAGGGAATCACCAGGGCTGTGCAAACAGTGTGATCCAGGTTGCTCGAGTCCCAGATATGGCGGCTGTCTGCCGGCCTCATGGAGGAAGGGCTCACCAAAGGAACAAGGGCCTCTGACAGCACATCTGTCCAGGAGAAAGCTGCCCCTCCAGCTCTCGCCCCAATGCTAGACAACTCAGTTCTTCCCCATATGTCTCTGGTGCCTTTCAAGCTGCCTCCCCAAAGCTGGAGCCCAGAAAGAGCGAGTCCGAGTAAGTCCATGAGTGGGCCCTTTAAGAGGAGCTGCCTAGGACTCCAGCAGCCTCAGCCTGAGTTCCAGCTGGTTTTTACAGCCAGAGTGATGGGGACTTCTCTTCCTGGCATTGGAATCATGAGCTGGGAGCCTGGTGTGGGAGAGGCACCCCTCACTCCTCAGGGAGGATCTTCACAGCTGAGGTGTCCCTCCTGATTTTTATCCACATTTGGGTGTGGGACCAGCCCATCTGTGACTCTGCCCCTCCTACCAGTTGCAATGTGGCTTTTTCTTAAATTTTGTAGCTGTAGGACTTCCATTCAGCTCGATGTCAGGCAGTTCTGCATGATGATTGTTCTGTAGTTGAGTTGTCATTTTGATGTGGTCGTGGGAGGAGGCGATACCACGGTTACCTACGCTGCCATCTTGACTGTCTTTCCCTAGAGCAGTGGTTCCTAATGCTATGACTCTTTAATACAGTTCCTCATGTTGTATGTGGGCGTATCTACACGTGTGCGGACCCGCCTGGAGACAGATAGAGGAGCGGTGTCTCAGTTCCTAAGACCACCAGAAATATGTTTCCCAAGGGTCTTAGTCCGACCCCCAAAGGGGTCGTGACCCACAGGTTGAGAACTGCTGCCCTAGAGTCTTTATTGAGTCTTTGAGTTAGTAGTTTGCATTCTCTCTGAGGCTGACAAATAACTCTTAAATTCCTTCTCCCACTTCAAATTATAACTCAAATTCTCTGGGTTAAAGCCTTTTTTTTTTTCTCTGTGTTCCAGAGAGGTGTGGCCAGAAGGAGATGTGTTTGGCTCTCAAGACATTTCCCCAGAGGAAGAGATTCAGCTGCTGAAACAGATCCTTTGTGCCCCGCTTCCCAGTGAGTCTCCATCTCCTTCACATCTCTCTACTTCTGGCTGTCTCGTAACAGTAGAGACCAAGCAATCCTTACTCTTCCTATAGGGCAGCAGGGGCCAGAGGAACGAGGGGCAGAGGAGGAAGAGGAAGAAGAAGAAGAGGAGGAGGAGGAAGAATTGCAAGTGGTCCAGGTGTCAGAGAAAGAATTTAATTTTCTGGACTACCTGAAACGGTGCGGGCCGAGAGGACTGAGTTGGTCCCAGAGTGGAAATCATAGGGCTGGGAGGATGAGCAATGTCTTATGCTGACATCCTCTCCCTCCCTGTCTTGGTGCAGCTTTGCCAGCTCAACTGTCATCCGAGCCTACGTGCTGCTGCTGCGGAGCTACCGGCAGAATAGTGCACACACTAACCACTGCATTGTCAAGATGCTGCACCGGCTGGCCCATGACCTCAAAATGGAAGCTCTTCTTTTCCAGCTGTCACTCTTCTGCCTCTTCAGTCGTCTGCTTAGTGACCCTGCCGCTGGGGCCTACAAAGTGAGGGGATTCTAAGGAATGGGGTCTGAAGGCTTAGGGGAATCCTGGGGTAAAACAATAGTCTTCAGGAGATAAAGGGCACTGAGTGGTGTCAAGGGCTGAGAGATGAGAGAATGGTGAGGAAGTAGGCAGCCTGGTTGAGGGAGCTCGGAGGGGAAGGATAGAAGAGTCTGAGTGAGGAGGGGGCAGCTGGGAACAGGTGTAGAGAAAGGGCTCAAAAGGCCCGGTTTATGTATACATTTAAGCCAGAGACCTCACAGCAGCCCCCCTCTCCCACAGGAGCTCGTGACTTTTGCAAAATACATCTTGGGTAAGTTCTTTGCATTGGCCGCAGTCAACCAAAAAGCCTATGTGGAGCTGCTGTTCTGGAAGAACACATCTGTGGTTCGAGAGATGACTGAAGGCTATGGCTCCCTGGATGACGGGTGAGCTGGAGGATGGGCAGTGTGTCAGGGGGTGACAGTCACAGAGCGTCAAAGGTGGAAAGCTTATAGGTCAGTTAGTGTAACCTTTCTTTCCCTTTCATAGTTGAGAAGACAAGCCCCGAAGGTAAAATGCTTTGCCAAAGGTCACCCAAGAAAAGAATGGGATTGGAGCCTAAGTCTCCAGTCTGCTCTAGTTTCCTTCTCCTTCTCCAGCCCTTCGTGGTGGGGGAGGTCAGTTGGGAGTGGGGCGGCCTCCAGGGAGAATCTATATGTGCCCTGTCCCAGAATGTGCTGGGAAGCCATGAGGATTCATAGATGTGTCTGGCCTCTTTTCCTTATTGTCTCGGCTTCTCTCCTTTCACCCCCCTTCTTCCCCTACCATAATACTCTCAGTCCCTACAGTGTCAGGTTCCATAGGCCCAATCTAGAAAATCTTAGTTTGACTTTTAGTTCTTAAGTGGGAGGAGAGTGAGGGGAAAGAAGCACATCTTAGGCCTCTGCTGGCTGGCTCCTTTGAGGTACCTGTGTTGCCTTTCTTATTCCTCTTAGAACTGACCAGAGAAGACGTTTGGTCTTCTTTGTGGGGGCCAACATCCTACATGCTTCCCCTCTCCTTTTCCCATTTAGATCTAGTCATAAACCTCCTGTGTGGAGCCCAGAGGAGGAGGCCCAGCTTCAGGAACTGTACCTTGCCCATAAGGATGTAGAAGGTATGAGGCCTCGAGACCTGAAGGGTTTATGAGGAGGGCAGCATGAGCTCCAGGACAGACCCCTCTTGACTGCCTCACTCCTCCATCTCAGGTCAGGATGTGGTAGACACCATCTTGGCACACCTCAATACTGTTCCTCGAACACGTAAGCAGGTCATCCACCATCTGGTACGGCTGGGACTGGCTGACAGTGTCAAGGACTTTCAAAGGTAGGAGCACGTTTTCTGGAGGGAATTGAGATAAGGAATCCTCTGTTCACTGCCTCAGCACCTGACACCTCCTACTGACATCTTCCTATACAGGAAAGGAACCCGTATTGTACTGTGGACAGAAGATCAGGAGCTGGAGCTGCAGCGGCTTTTTGAGGAGTTTCAGGACTCAGATGGTGTGTGAGGTAGAAGTTTAGGGAACCTCTGAGATGAGATCCAAGCTGTCCATTTCTTTCCCCTGCCTCCTGTTCCATCCCTTCTGTCCACTTACTATATTTGTGGTATCATTTTTTTTTTTTTATCCTCACCCGAGGACATTTTTCCATTTTTTTGTTCAGATAGAATGGCGGGGGGGGGAGAGAGAGAGAAACATCGACGTGAAAGGGACATATTGAGTGGTTGCCACTCACACAACCACCAGGGCCAGGGACAAACTGCAACCAAGGTACGCGCCCTTAGCGGGAACCGACCCAGGTCTCTCTGGACCACAGGCTGACGCTCTAACTGCTGAGCCAAATTGGCCAGGGCTCTGGTGTCATTTTTGAGTGAATCTATCTAGCCTCTTTCCTCTGATTTCCTTTACTGCTCTGATTTCCTTTACTTCTCTACTGCTCTTGGATATTCACACTTTCCTTCTTTATAGATGTCCTGGGTCGTATCATGAAGAATATCACAGCCAAACACTCACGGGCTCGAATAGTGGATAAACTACTGGCTCTGGGGCTGGTGGCTGAGCGGCGGGAGCTATACAAAAAACGCCGGAAGAAGTTGGCACCCTCAGGCTTGGTAATAATCTTCCCCAGGCTCTGTTGGCAAGGGACCATCCCCCCTGAGGTGCTCCTTAGAAGTAGCCCACTCAGTTCCTCATTTTGTCTCCCATTTCCATTTTCCATCCCCTTTGAATTTTAGCCTAATGGAGAGGAGTCCCTGAAAAATATTTGCCAGGAAAATCTGGAAGAAGAGGAAAACCTGTCAGAGGAAGAGAGTGAAGAAAATGAAGAGAAAGAGGAAGGCTCAGAAGCAGAACAAACGCCCCAGGGGAGCACAGACCTATCAATTGAAAACCTTGGGCAAAGCCTGCATCAGGAAGGTGGGGGCTTGGGTTGAGAGACAAGGCTCAGGTGGAAGAGGGGTGTCAGCGTTTGGGCCAGTGTTAAGTTTTCTCTTTCCCTTAGGCTTTTTGGCTCCTCTCCTATGGCTCCAGAACTGCCTGATTCAAGTAGCAGATGATCGGGAAGAGGATGGTGAGTGGGAAAATGATGGTTTCAGGAGGACTGGGGCACTGGAAGCTGCTGATTGTGGGATGAGAACCAGTTTTTTCTTCACATTTTTACCATATGACTGTTGACCCTGTTCTAGGCTGCTCCCAGGCAGTTCCACTGGTGCCATTGACAGAAGAAAATGAGGAAGCAATGGAAAATAGACAGTTTCAGCAGCTGTTGCGCAAGCTAGGGGTTCGACCTCCTGCCTCTGGGCAGGTAAATACACCAGTCCCAGTGTCAGCCAAATTGTATTGGTGCTATTTCAAAATACCTCTCCTCACTTTGCTGACTGAGACTGCTGCAGCAACTGTCTCGCTAGTCTTCCTCTCCAATTTCTTCTACTAAGTTCATATTCCACGCTGCCCCCTTGGTTATCTTTCTAAGATAAGATTTGGACCATTTATATAGCCTCATAGCCAAACCACCCACATACTTACCTTACATCATAGTCACCTAGGACTACTTTCCACCCTCCAAATAGTAGGCTTTTTCATAACCTTCAAACATTTGATCATACCAACCCCTCTACTGGAAGGCTCCTACCACACATCAACCTTGAAGAGTCAGTTCAGTTGTCACCTCCTCAGGGAAGCAATCCCTACCACTTTCAACCCCTGAAAGGAAAGTAATCACTTTGACAACTGAGATTCATTTATTTCCTTGATATCGCCCCAATTCGGTGGTGTTAGACTACATTGATTTTTCTTCTCCCATTATATTGTAAGTTCCTTGAGGGCAGGGCTCATATCTGATTCACCTTTTTAGATCCCCAGGATTCATTTATTAATTCAATTAACAACTATATTTACTGGGAACTTCTTTTTTTTTTTGGTACGTACCCCTAGCGGGAACTGAACCCAGAACTCTCTGGTCTGCAGGCCAATGCTCCAACCGCTGAGCCAGGGCTACTGGGAACTTCTTAATGTAGTAGTCACCATGCTAGACTTTGGGCATATATTGGGTAACCCTTGTGGATCTTCACCAGGGCAGGGTCATATTTATTCAATGAATAATATAAAAATCTCTCATTTCAACTTCTTTGCCCCTGTAGGAAACCTTCTGGCGAATTCCAGCCAAGCTGAGTCCCACCCAGCTCCGGAGGGTAGCAGCTTCTTTGAAGAAGGAAGAGGTAAAGCTTCAACAAGGGCCAGACCCTCAAGTCCCTGAAGAGCAAGTCCCCAAGGAAGAGCACCGAAAGGAACACCGAGCACAAGCCCTGAGGGCCCTCCAGTTAGCCCGGGGGAAAAAAGCAGGCCTGGTGTCTCCAGCAGGTGATAGCGGGACTACTCATTGAGTACTTACTGTGTGCGAGCTGTGTTGATCTAGAGGCTGATAGAATATTTTGAGAATATGAGGGCCCAGTTCTCTAATTTAATGTCTCTTGTGGTCATTTCAGAGGCAGGGACTACTGGTGGGAAAGAGCAGCTGAAAGTGGCCCCCAAGAAGCGACAACTGCTGGACAGCGATGAAGAACAGGAGGAAGATGAGAGCAGGAGCAAAGGTAGGGAGTCTGATTGGGACCTGCTCTTTCTTCTAAACTCTGGCACTCTTCAATCCTGAAGATAAATGCTACCCCCTCCTTCCCTTTTAACATGTTTAGATATTCTTTCTCTTCGTACTCCTGTCATTTCCATAGCGCCAGAGCTGGGAGCTCCAGGAATCCAAAAGAAGAAACGGTTTCAGATTGAGGATGAAGATGAGAGCGACTGAAACCTAAGGGTAGAAATAGACCTGTATTTAGGTGGTGAGTTTAAATCAGAGTTGGAAGGGTCATACAGGACCCAGAAACTCCTCTTACTGGACAAAGCAGTATAGTCCTGGGCTTTATGGATTTAGCATCCCGGATGTTCAGACCACTACATTGGACTCCTCTGCAGTCACTTCTTGCTTCTCCCAGTTTTATCAGTGAGCCTCAGTAGCTCTCTTACTCAGCTTCTTCTAGGAACTATTTTTTGGGGGGTTATTAGTGCCCCTTAGCAAATGAAAGGAGTGAGTGAAATATAGAAAATATCTTGGGCCCTGGCCAGTTTGGCTCAGTGGTTGGAGCATCGGCCTGTGGTCCAGAGAGACCTGGGTTCGGTTCCTGCTAAGGGCACGTACCTTGGTTGCAGTTTGTCCCAGCACTGGTTGGTCGTGCGGGTGGCAGCCACTCGATGTGTCCCTTTCACATCAATGTTTCTCTCTCTCTCTCCCTTCCTTTCTCTCCCTCCCACTCTATCTGAACAAAAAATGGAAAAATGTCCTCGGGTGAGGATAAAAAAGAAAAGAAAAGAAAAGAAAAGAAAAACCTTGGACCCCTTATTGGTCTGTTCCTTTTGGCTTTCTGCTGGAGGTGGGTCATGGCACCAGATGGGGAGCTTTGTGACATGATGGGTAGGGGTATTGCCCCACTTTTAAAAGGCATCAGGTGTGCCCAGTCAGGTTGAGCATTGACCCATGCACCAAGAGGTCACCGGTTTGATTCCTGGTCAGGGCACATGCCCAGGTTGTGGGCCCGATCCCCAGTGGGGGGCATGCAGGAGGTGGCCAATCGATGTTCTCTCATCGATGTTTCTATCTCTCCCTCCCTTCCTTGCTCTAAAATCAATAAAGAAAATAAAGGCATCAGTACTCCCATCCTCATTTTTTCCCCATGGTCACTGCCTAGACACCAGGTTGAGCCTGATTCCTGCAGTTGAGGTGGGGTTGGGATGTAGTACTCCCCAGATGATGAATATGTTTGGTTTGTGTTTGATGTTGAATTAACCATGTAATATTAAAAGTTGGCAGTGTTGATCTGACTCCCAGTTTGTCTGAGTACCTTGCTATGTTCTTGGGAGAACTTGTAACAGTTAGGGTTAAAACAGATCATCAACCTTCCATTTTCTCTTGCTTTCCCTACAGAAGACAGAAAAACATTTTCACCTCAAGATCCTTTCTCTAGAATAAATCTTTAGAGTGACAAGAGTTTGCAGCCAGGAAGAAACAGGAGCCAGAAAGGGAGAAAAAGCCAATTTGTCAGCATGGGTAGAAGGGAAGACAAAGTCTAGGCAAGAAGGAATGGGTAAATATTGTAATTGTCTTGTCCTTCCCTGTTCTTAGAAACCATCAGCTTTCTGGCTGTCTTGTGTTTCCACCTGAGGTAAGGTAGAGGTAAGATTCAGAAAGTAGCCATTCAGATCAGGGAGAGCTCTAGGTAAAGGATGCATTTGGGTTGTTTTGTTTCTCTGACTTGGTTTTTTCTCCCTCCCACAGCCTCTAAAGATAGAATGAATATGTTTGGTTTGTGTTTTGGTATTGAATTAAACATGTGAACTCTAATGTAAACTATGGACTTAGGTAATAATAGTTAATAAGACCTAATAATAAAATAAATAATACAATTTAAAAATAATATAATTGTTACAAATGTATCACACCAATGTAAGATGTTAATAGGGGAAACTGAGGGGTTAATATAGAAGGGAATTTTGGGGGACAGGCTATACTTTCTGCTCAACTTTTCTATAAACCTAAAACTACTCTAAAAAATAAATGCCATTAAAATAAAACGCATAAACAAACAAAACAGAAACAGATTCATGGATACAGAGAACAAACTGATCATTGCCAGGTGTGAGGAGGTTTGGGGGGCTGGATGAAAAAGGTGAAGGATTAAGAAGAACAAATTGGCCCAGCCGGTGTGGCTCAGTGGTTGAGCGTCCACCCATGCACCAAGAGGTTGCCGGTTCGATTCTCGGTCAGGGCAAATGCCCAGGTTGTGGGCCAAATCCCCGGGGAGGGGGCATGCAGGAGGCGGCCAGTCGATGTTCTCTCTCATCGATGTTTCTGTCTCTTCCTCTCCCTTTCTCTCTCAAATCAATAAAGAAAGAAAATTAAGCCCCGCCGGTGTGGCTCAGTGGTTGAGCGTAGACCCATGCAGCAAGAGGTCGCTGGTTGGATTCTCGATCAGGCCACATGCCCAAGTTGTGGGCCCGATCCCCAGTGGAGGGCCTGCAGGAGGCGGCCAGTCACTGTTCTCTCTCATCGATGTTTCTATCTCTCCCTCTCCTTTTCCCTCCCTCTCTCTCTAAAAATCAGTAAAGAAAAAAAAATTTTTTTAAATTTTTTTTAAAAAGTACAAATTGGTAGTTACAAAATAGTCATGGGGATGTAAAGTACAGAATAGGGGATATTGTCAGTCGATGATATAATAACTATGTATGGTGCCAGGTGGGTACCAGACTTATCAGGCTATCACTTTGTGAGTTATATTAATATCTAACTACTATACTGTACATCTGAAATTAATGTAATAGTGAATGTCCACTGTAATTGAAAACATAAAAATAAATACCCAGCACCCAAGAAGTGACAACTAGTGGGAATTGATGAAGAGCCAGGTGGAAGGTGAGGGCAGGAGCAAAGGTGGGAAGTCTAATTGGGGGGACATGCATTTGTCTTCATCCTTCTGTCTTAGAGACAAACCACCACTTTCCCTCCCCCTACCAAAGGTACACAGTCAGTCTCCCTCCCCTGTCATTTCCAAGGCACAAGAGTTGGAAATTCACAGAATTTCAACAAAAAGGCATTTTTATATTGAGGGTGAGGACACTAACAAACTGGAGGTGGAGATAGGCCCAGTTATGGATGGCGAGCTCAAGTCAGAAATGGGAGAATTCAAAGGATCCAGGAATTTCATCAACATTGTTGGATGTCTCTACATCCAGTTCTTCCTTCTCCCTATTTTAGGAGTGTACAGTCCCCTGAAAACTTACTCCTCTAGAAACCTTTAAAAATTATTTTATTTGTTGTTGTTGTTAATCCTCACCCAAGGATATTTTTCCATTGATTTTTTTTTTTATCTTCACCCGAGGACATTTTTCCATTTTTTGTTCAGGTAGAGTGGGAGGGAGAGAGAGGAACAGAGAGAGAGAGAAACATCGACGTGAAAGGAACACATCGAGTGGCTGCCACCCGCACGACCGACCAGGGCCGGGGACAAACTGCAACCGAGGTAGGTGCCCTTAGCACCCGAACCCGAGTCTCTCAGGACCGCAGGCCGATGCTCTAACCGCTGAGCCAAACCGGCCAGGGCTTTCCATTGATTTTTAGATAGAGTAGGAGGGAGGGAGGCTGGGGGGAGAAAGAGAAAAACATTGATGTGAGACTTGATTGGCTGCCTCCACATGACCCTGACCAGGGCCGGGGATAGAACCTGCAACCTAGGTATGTGCTCTTGACTGGAAATTGAATCCTTGTTCAGTCTGCAGGCTGACGCTCTAACCACTGAGAAAACTGGGCAGGGGCTTTTTTTTACTATTATTTGTTTGTTTTTAGAGAGAGAAGGAGAAGAGAGAGAGAAACATCAATTTGTTGTTCCACTTATTTATGCATTCATTGGTTACTTCTTTTTTTTAATTCATCATCAGAGGATATTTTTCCATTTATCATCAGATAGAGTGGGAGGGAGTGGGAGAGAGACAGAGAGAAACATCGATGTGATAGAGCCATATCGACTGGTTGCCTCCCGCATGACCCTGACCAGGGTGGGGATGAACCGCAGCCAAGGTACGTACCCTTGACTGGAATTGAACCCGCGACTCACTGGTTCACAGGGTGATGCTCTAACCAGTGGTTCTCAACCTTCCTAATGCCATGACCCTTTAATGCAGTTCCTCATGTTGTGAGGAACACAACCATAAAATTCTTTTCATTGCTATTTCATAACTGTAATTTTGCTACTGTCATGTCTTAGGCGACCCCTGTGAAAGGGTTGTTCGACTCCCAAAGGGGTCGCGACCCACAGGTTGAGAACTATTCTAACCGTTGAGCCAAACCAGCCAGGGCCATTGGTTGCTTCTTGTATGTGCCCTAACCGTGGATCAAACCCACAACCTTGGTATATTGGACAGCACTCTAACCAAATGAGCTACCTGGCCAGGGCCTAGAAGTCTCCCCCCCCCCCCCCCGATTTCTTGCTTGTTATGGGCCCCCTTCTGGGGCTGAGAGGAGTGAGCAACATGGAAAGAGGCACCCAGGACACCTTTGGCTGTCTGACAGAGGTGGGTTATAGCACCAGACAGGAACCTGTATGGCACAGTGATGTGTGGATTTTTGTACCAGTTTTAGGAAGCACCATATGCTCGTATTCCCTGTTTTCCAGACTAGTTTATTGTCCTCTAGACTCCTGGATGAGAAATGAAGCCCTAATTTCTATTATTTTAATGCAGGCTTAGGAAGAGGTACTATGGTAATGAATGTGCTTAATTAAAGTATTGCATTGGAATTAAGATGGTAAAAACTGAAAAATCGCTCTGATTTGTTCTAACTCTGCCAGTAGGTTTTATTTTCCCATTCCTCTATCTGATAAGTTTATTGAAAAGAACTATTTTGGGATCTCTTCCCCAGAAGTTATTGGCAAACCTGCCTTTCACCTCCTTGCTTCCCCAGAAGATAGAGGAATTTTTCTTGATCCAAGATTAGGTCTAAAGAAATCCTTCGGGTGACAGACATGGGTCAGGAAAAGCAGTATCTACAAAGGGGAAAGCCTGTTTGTCAGCATGGGGCAAAGGTGAGCAGGACAAAGCCTAAGCCTGAAGAGGTGGATAAATATTTGTGAATGTTATGTCCTCACTGTTTTCAGAGGGGTCAACATTTTTGGCTGAGGTAAAAGTGAGATCTAGAAAACACTCATTCTAATTAGGGGAGCTCCGAGGCACAGGACGTGTTTGAATGATCTCGTTCCTCTGGCTTATTTCTGGAGCAGGTAAGGATCATCTGAAGCCTGTGGTAGGGGTGAAGCTTTGTTTAGGGTGACTGAAGTTTCCAAGGGCTAAGACACTTCCTGGCTCTGATCAGTCTTGGTGTCTCTTCATCTTAAGACTTTACTTACTTCCCAACCTGAGCGTTGCTCTTCTTTCCAGCAAAGCTGTTTATGCTGACCCACCATGATCCAGACTGTGCTGCTCTGCTGTGTCTTTGTGTCCCCAGTGGCTGCCTTTCTAAGAAATGCCCAGAAAAAGGCCCCAACCTCCCAGCTGTCTTTCACAGAAACTGGGCATCCTCGGAACATGCTCTCCAACCAGAGCCCTCTCCCAGGTTCCAAGACTTGCCAGGATATCTTGGGCATAGCCCCTTCCTTAATCCCTCTGCCTGAGTATCTATCCAGTTTAGCTCTGGAGGTGGCCCTGAAGGAGGCTGGCTGCCCAGCTGACGCCCACGTTCTGCAGGTGCAGCTTGTTAGGGTGGAAGGCAATGACACCACTGAAACCATGAGAGTGAAAAGCTCAGTGAGGAATAAGGGATTGGCAATATTAAGGTCATCCTGAGGGATCTAGGGGGATCCCCAGGGTGCTTGGATAAATCCAATACTCACCCTCAGGAATATATTGGTGGTGAATACACCCACTGGAGTGGCTGGTCTAGCAGTTAGTTCAGATGGTAATTGAGTTTGCTGAGAAGCTATCTCCCATGTTGCTGGTGACACAGTCAAAGGTTTAGCTTTTATCCCCTAGAACTTCAAGTATGAGTTTCGGGAACATGAGTTAGGCAAAAAGCTGAAGGAACCCCCAAGTTAAGAAGAGCCTCCTAGTTACTATGGATAATGACAATATAATTTATCACATGTTCCACAGTTAATTCTGAGGTGCTTTATGGGGAAATGGATTCCAGAATTTGTCTAGGTTTACTTCAGATATTCAGTGCCACTTAGGTGACAAGTCTCCTTTCCCAGAACTGTGTTCAAGGATAGTAAGTAGTCAGAAATTTTGGAAAGTAGTTAGGCAGAAGTATGCTCTTTATCTCAGTGCTAAAACACATGTGTGACTGGTATTAGCCTTGCCCTTCACTACTTGGTAGTTCTCAGTCTCTATTTCTTAATCCATTTTCTCATTTCTTTCTTTGAGTTATCATATATTGAGCATGTAATATGTTTTAAACACGAGTGGTACTTTAACCTTTTCTTATTCATCTACCCTATACCAAAAAAGAGCAAATAGTAGATATATATCTAATCTCTTCTGATCTGGGTCTCCTGGCTCCTGCCATGAGCTAGAGTGGGAACATGGCAGGGACCTGTAGGAAATGCCAAAGAACAAGGTCTTAAGTATTGAGGTCAAGTGTGCGACAGGGCACAAGGTTTGAGCAGCCAGTCCAAATGGACAAATATTTGCAGAGATTACATCTGTTACTTATCATAGGGGAAAGCAAGGATGTCCTATATTCATGGAATAGAGAAGTGGGCAGCACCAAATCGAGCAGCTACCAAACCTATCAAGGCAGTCTCACTTCTCAATGATTGGACTGTGTAGTAATTTGGGGCCTCCTATAAATGGGTGGAAATAAAGCAGAGGAAGTCCCTGGTAACCTGAAAGTGGAGAAGCCAAGTGCAAACAATTGAGTTGCATTTTCTATTTCCTAGGCCTTTACCTAAAAAGAACAAAAGCTTAAAGTAGTTGGATGAGGTGTGTCCTGGGCTCTTTGAGACCACATCCCATAGGGAAACTGTTTCTGGTTTTCCCCCTCCAGTGTACTCTGATCCAGACATGGGTGGCCTCAGACTCATCATGATACCATTTGAGCTGCTTCTTTGTTGCTCCATCCTGCTGCACCCCGTGGATACCATTTCATATGAAAACCAGACAAATGTCCTGATGCACCTTCCCTCATCCTCGGAATCCTGGCCACCCTCCTCAGGCCCCTTGCCTTGCCAGACCCTGCTCCCAAAGTCCCTGCCTGGCTTTACCCATATGGCCCCTCTACCCAAGTTTTTGGTAGGCCTGTCACTGATGATTGCCCTGAAGGAAGCTGGCTGCCATGCTGATGTACAGGCCTTGCAATTTCAGCTCTACCGCCAGGGGGGTATAAATGCTACACAGATCCTCACCCGACATCTTCAAGGGCTGGAGAAAGGCAGAAACACAGAGGGGTGTATCAGTGGATGCCCTAGTCTCTGCTCTGCAGCTGTTGGCCAGGGAACAGCTGGGCCCAGAAAGGGCCCGACGCTCCCTCACCATCAAGGACTGTGAGAATAAACAGGAGGAGAGTGTGCATGGTATAGTACGGTTGTTGCCAGCAGTGGGAACCTACTACAACCTGGGCACAGCTTTGTTTTATGCTACTCAGAACTGCTTGGACAAGGCCAAGGAACGAGGCCAAGATGGGGTCATAGATCTGGGTTATGACCTCCTAATGACCATGGCTGGACTGTCAGGGGGGCCCATGGGACTAACGATCAGCACTGCGCTTAAACCTGCTGTGAAGGCTGGGGTTGAACAGTTGATCCGGTATTACCATGAGAAAGAGGCAAACAGCTCTCCTCCAGAGACTAGCAAAGAGGGCTTGGGCAGCACCCTAAGTGTGAGTGACGTGACAGAAACAACTACCATGGCCCCTATGGTGTCAGCTCCTTACTGGTGGTGGCCCTTATTCAAGAACTATGACTTAGATCCTCGGAATGAGAGTTTTGCAATATAAAAGGTGGTAAACAGCCCTGGCCAGTTTGGCTCAGCGGTTAGAGCGTCGGCCTGCGGTCCTGAGAGACCTGGGTTCGGTTCCCACTAAGGGCACGTACCTCGGTTGCAGTTTGTCCCCGGCCCTGGTTGGTCGTGCGGGTGGCAGCCACTCGATGTGTTCCTTCACGTCGATGTTTCTCACTCTCTCTCCCTTCCTCTCTCTCCCTCCCACTCTATCTGTACAAAAAATAGAAAAATATCCTCGGGTGAGGATAAAAAAAAAAAAAGGTGGTAAACAATAAATAAATCTAATATTCTGACAAACTGCACAATCCGAGTCTCTAGCTCTGGCCAATTTGGCTCAGAATTTAAGACTGTGTTTGATTCCTGGTCAAAGAACACATACCAGGGTTGCAGGTTCGATCCCCCACCCAGGTCAGGGTCATGCAGGAGGCAGCCAGCTGATGTGTCTCACATGGATGTTTCTCCCCACCCCACTTCCACTCTGTCTAAAAATCAATGGAAAAATATCCTCAGGTGAGTATTAAGGAAAAAAAAATTAACCCAGCCAATGTGGCTCAGTGGATTGAGTGGCATTCCATGGACTGAGAGGTCCAGGTTCAATTCCTGGTCAGGACACATGCACAGGTTGCGTGCTTGATCCCCAGTAGGGGGTGTGCAGGGGTGTGAGAGATACATGGATGTTTCTATCTCTCCCTTTATAAAAAAAAAAAAAAAATCAGTTAAAAAATACATTAAAAAGGGGTGGGGGGAGGGTCCGGCCCGTGTGGCTCAGTGGTTGAGCATCGACCCATACACCAGGAGGTCACCAGTTCGATTTCCGGTCAGGGCACATGGACAGGTTGTGGGACCGGTCCCCAGTGAGGGGTGTGCAGGAGGCGACCAATCGATGTTCTCTCTCCCTCTCCCTAAAAGCAATAAAGAAAAAAAAATGTTTTTTGAAAAGGAATCCAAGACGGATTTGCTATGAGGAAGAAAGCAGTGCTGTAAAATGTGGGACTTTTTAAGTTTGGGGTTTGGAGTCAGAGGCTTTGGTTTTGAATCCAGGCTCCACTTGTTTGAGCCTCAGTGATCACTGACGAGTAACTTAACTTTTTAAAAAAAAATTTAAATATCTTTATTGTTGGAAGTATTAAAGATGTCCCCCCCTTCTTCCCCCAATGATCCCCCTCCTTCCCGCTCCCATCCCCAGTAACTTAACTTCTTTCTCTAAGCTCAGGTTTTTATACATTTCTAAATTGGGGATGATGATTTTCAAATCATTGGGTTTTGTGGAAACGAAAAACGACACAATGAACCTAAAGTGTTTAACACTACCATCAGTAAATAGTTATTATATTACTTCAGCCCTCCCCTTCCTATCCCAAAGTGTCGAAGTTCCGGCCCCACCTCTTCTTACGGAGCCCTAAGCGCTTCCACTGTCTGGAGCAGGTCTCATTTCCTTAGCCGCAGAGTGGGTTCTCGGAAATCAGCAGTTTCAGTCTTGGGCTATTCCATTAATTGGACTCCTCCCTCCGCGGGCATGGGGCGCGGCTTATTTGAGGTGCCCCACCAATCGCTGGAGCTGCAGGTGTGGCATCTGCGCCGCCTCTCCCTCCCCGCAGAGAGGGAGGGGCTGTGACGATGCCAATGAACTCACAGCCTGGGAAGAGCTTGGCCAATGTCCGCTGCGGGTCTGGGAGTGGCGAGCTCGGAGTTTCAGCTGCCCACTCAAACCTGCTACAGGGGGACGGACTCCGAGGGGCGGGGCGAAACCAAGGGCGGGGCGGGAGGCGCTGGTGCCGGAGCACCCTCTGCGGAAAGGAAGGCTCGACCTCAGCCTCTGCAGAGAGCAGGAATTGAGACCCTAACCAGGTACGGTCCCTGAGAGGGCGCGCGGGGTTTGGGGGTGGAGGCGCGAGTTCCTCCCTAAGAAGTGAGGCAGCCCCGGGGGCTGTGTTCCGGAGGTGTCAGCCTATGTCCCCAGGTTGAAATTGGAGCTGTCGCCTGCTGCATCTTGATCGTCCCCCGATCCTGTCCGGTCTAGGTCCCCAACCCGAATGCCTCCCCCACATCCAAATTCCCCTACAGCTTCTGAGACCGGAACTTGGCATTGTTGCATTTTTTTCCTTTTGGCCTGTGATAGTTTTGATACTTATACCCCACCTCCCCAAAAATCAACGTCCAAGGGTAGATACAATTGATCATCCTTATTTGTTATATTAAAAACTATAAGATACAGCCCTGGCTGGGTAGCTCAGTTGGTTAGAGCGTTGTCCCAATATACTAAGGTTACTGTCATCCTAGTAAGCCAAGATTGTGGGTTGGATCTCTGGTCAAGGCACATACAAGAAGCAACCAATGAATGCTTAAATGAGTGGAACAACAAATAGACGTTTCTCTCTCCCTTCCTCTTTCTCTCTAAAATCAATTGAAAAACTTTTTTAGAAGTGTAAGATACAACCCTGCTGGTATTGCTCAGTGGTTGAGCATCAACTCATGCACCAAGAGGTCATGGGTTTGATTTCTGGTCAGGGCACATGCCCAGGTTGTGGGCCCAATCCCCAGTGGGGGGCATGCAGGAGGTGGCTGATGGATGTTCTCTCTCATGGATGCTTTTTTCTTTCCCTCTACCTTTCTCTCTCAAATCAATAAAGAAAAACAAATAAAGTGTAAGACACAGAAAAGTGAAAGTATTTGCCTAAGGTCACATGCAAAATGAGATTTATTTCAGAAAAGGTTATTGAATACAAAACATGTGCCTAAGAGAGTTAGGGGTTACTGGAGAAGTAAGTACATAAGTGTTATAACCCTTAACCTCAAGTGTTTGCAATCCATTTGGAAAAAACAGGTTTGTTGCCCAAAGGGTTGCAGGTTCAATTCCCGGTCAGGGCACATACCTAGGTTGCTGGTTTGATGCAAGGTAAGAATGCCTGTGGGAGGCAACTGATCGATGTTTCTCCTTCACATCGATGTCTCTGTCTTTCCTCTCTCTCTCAAAATCAGTAAGAAAATCCTCAGGTGAAGATTTTTTTTAAAAAGTGATTATTAAAAAAAAAGGTTTGTTTATTTGTTTTTTATCCTCACCCAAGGACATTTTTCCATTTTTTGTTCAGACAGAGTGGAAGGGAGAGAGAGGAAGAGAGAGAGAAACATTGACGTGAAAGGGACACATCGAGTGGCTGCCACCCGCAGGACCAACCAGGGCCAGGGACAAACTGCAACCGAGGTACGCGCCCTTAGCAGGAACCGAACCTGGGTCTCTGGACCACAGGCTCACGCTCTAACCACTGAGCCAAACCGGCCAGGGCAGTTTGTTTGTTTTTATATTTAAACCTCAGGGTTTACTTGATGCCTTACTCTTTTATTCTCTTTGGTTTTTTTGTTTGTTTGTTTTTTCTTTGTCTTTCTCTTTTGTTTCTTATTCTTCTTCTTTTTTCTTAATCCTCACCCGAGGACATTTCGCCATTTTTTTGTTCAGATAGAGTGGGAGGGAGAGGGAGAGAGAGAGAAACATCAATGTGAAAGGGACACATCGAGTGGTTGCCACCCGCACGACCCAACCAAGGCTGGGGACAAACTGCAACCAAGGTATGTGCCCCCAGTGGGAACTGAACTCGGGTCTCTCTGGGCCACAGACTGATGCTCTAACTGCTGGGCCAAACCGGCCAGGGCTTATTCTGCCTTTTTTAATACCAGCAAATTAGTTCCTTGAGAACTGGAGCCTCTTCAGTTTGTTTTTGTTGTTTTTTATTTAACATTTTTTTTGTTTATCCTCACCTGAGGACATTTTTGCATTCATCTTCAGATAGAGCGGGAGGAAGAGAGAGAGAGAAACATTGATGAGAAACATTGATGTGAGAGAGACACATTGGTCACCACCCACACGACCCCAGGTGAGGCTGGAGACACACTGCAACCAAGGTACATGCCCTTAGTGGGAACCGAACCTGGGACTCTCTGATCCACAGGCCGACGCTCTAACCGCTGAGCCAAACCAGCCGGGGCTGTTTTTGTTTTTTTAAAGCAATACAGGTATACATAGTTTAAAATGTCAAGCACTAATAAAAGGGTTAAAATGAAAAATAAGAGCCCCTGCCAAATCCTTTCCTTCCCCTGTTCCTAGTTCCTAGAGGTAGAAAGGCAGCTCATAATTATTCATACTGGCGGAAAACACTTCTCCTACCCCAGACATTTTTCTTTTATTTGTAATAAAATCATGTGACATTTTTAGACTACAGATGTGCATGCTTGTTCTTTTCTGTGAGGCTCAAGCTGCAATAAAAGTTTTTTTTTTAATATTTATTTGGAGGAGATAGCATTATTATGTCCTCTTTTCTTTTTTTTTTGGTATGTGCCCCTAGTGGGAACTGAACCTGGGACTCTGGTCCGCAGGCCGATGCTCCAACCGCTGAGCCAGACCAGCCAGGGCTGCAATAAGTTTTGATTTCCTAAACAGACAGATGGCAGTGTGCGGGACAAGCTAGGGAGAAAGATTCTCTGCCTAGTCAAGTTGGTGACAGGTAAAAACCAGTTTTGAGTGAAATTTCTGGGTCTCTGCAAGTTTAATAATCCACATGAAGAATCAGAAATCAACAGAGATTATAAAAGGTGACACAGCCCTGGCCAGTTTGGCTCAGCAGTTAGAGCATCGGCCTGCGGTCCAGAGAGATCCGGGTTCAGTTCCTGCTAAGGGCACGTACCTCTGTTGCAGTTTGTCCCGTTTGTCCCTGGACATGACCCAACCAGGGCCGTGCGGGAGGCAGCCACTCGATGCGTCCCTTTCACACTGATGTTTCTCTCTCTTCTTTTCTCTCCTTCCCACTCTATCTGAACAAAAAATGGAAAAATGTCCTCAGGCGAGGATAAAAAAATAAAAGGTGACACAATCTTAGGAATTGGGCGACCCTTTGCACAGCATTTAAACTTCTAGAATGGAACTCTTCCTTCCTACATGGAGAGCAGTTTATAGAGTGTATTTTATCTCCAAGGAGGTTTCAACCCCTGATAAAACTCTGAGGCCAGTGGAGATCATGCTGAAATAAATACTGATGACCCACACTCTTTTTTTTTTTAAATCCTCACTGGAGGACATTTTTCATTTTTGTTCAGATAGAATGGGAGGAAGAGAGAGAGAGAGAAACCAACATGAAAGAGACGCATCGAATGGCTGCCTCCCACATGACCCCAACCAGGGTTGGGGACGAATTGCAACCGAGGTACATGCCCTTGACCAGAATCGAACCCGTGACTCATTGGTCTGCAGGCTGATGCTCTAAGCACTGAGCCAAACTGGCCAGGGCAACTCCACACTATCTTTAAATGCCCTAACCTAAACAAATGCAAACACATATAAATTTATGATAAATGTATTGGGGGAGTTGATAAAATAAAAATGGTAGAAACATCATTGTTGTAGATGAAGGATGGGTACATGGATGATCCTTGTACTATTTGCTGTACTTTGGTGTGTGTTTGAAAATTACCATTAAAACAAAAAGGCCCACATATTGGAGCTCTTAAATAATACTTCCTAGAAAAATATGTACCCACTCGATGTGTCCCTTCACGTCGATGTTTCTCTCTCTCTCTCCCTTCCTCTCTCTCCCTCCCACTCTATCTGTAAAAAAAAAAAAAAAAAAATTGAAAAAAAATATCCTCGGAAAGCCCTGGCCAGTTTGGCTCAGCGGTTAGAGCGTCGGCCTGCGGTCCGGAGAGACCCGGGTTTGGTTCCCGCTAAGGGCACGTACCTCGGTTGCAGTTTGTCCCCGGCCCTGGTTGGTCGTGCGGGTGGCAGCCACTCGATGTGTCCCTTCACGTCGATGTTTCTCTCTCTCTCTCCCTTCCTCTCTCTCCCTCCCACTATATATTTAAAAAAAAAAAAAAAAAAAAAAAAAAAAATTGAAAAATATGTACCAAACTAATAATATTGGTGTCTTTTAAAAAAAAATTTTTTTCTTTATTGATTTTAGAGAGAGAAGAGAGAGAGAAACATCAATGAGAGAGAACATTGATTGGCTGCCTCCTGCACGTCCCCTGTTGGGAATTTGGCCCATAACCTGGGCATGTTCCCCGACCAGGAATCGAACCGGCAACCTCTTGGTGCGTGGGTCGACGCTCAACCACTGAGCCACAGTGGCTGGGCATAATATTGGTTTCTTAAGAGGAGGGAAGGGACCAAGATTGGGAGTGGAGTCAATCTAGACACCCCTCTTTTTTTTTTACCTGTATAGTGGAAAATTGTTAAATTGGTAATAATAAACTATCATGAGACTGGATGGTTTACTCCAGCAAGATTTACAGTTGGGAACCTGAATCATTCAGACTCAGATCCCAAATGGCGCAGTGGGAGATGCTGCAGAATCTTGACAGCCCATTTCAGGATCAACTACACCATCTCTACACAAATAGCCTCCTGCCGGTGGACATTCGACAGCACTTGGCTGTCTGGATTGAAGACCAGAACTGGTAAGGCCCTCAGGAAGTTGGGAGGTGGGGAATGAGAAAAATGGTTTATTTCTTCTGAACCCCTAGGATCCTGGAGACACAAAGGGCAGGAAGGGGTTAGAATGCCTCAAGACAGCAGCAACCCTGCGGAGATAATGATCTTTGTCATTCCTGGTCCCCAGGCATGAAGCTGCACTGGGCAGTGATAATTCCCAGGCTAACATGCTATACTTACATTTCTTGGACCAACTAAACTATGAGTGTGCCCGCTGCAGCCAGGACCCTGACTGCTTCTTGTTACAGCATAGCTTGCGAAAATTCTATCGGGACATTCAGGTACTTGGAGGATCTGGGAATAACAAGGTTGGAGTGGGATCTTTAGAGGAGTATGATTTTTGGGTATAGAACAGGACCTGGAGGTGTAAAGGGACAGGGGCAGTTCTGGGTAAAGGAATTGGGGGATCACTTGCAGAGAGGTCAGTGTTTAGATGAACCTGTTAGGAAGAGGCTAGGGTTTGGGGACCAGTAGTGAAAAGAGGACAGGCTAGGAACCCTGGAAGGAGGGGGAAGGGGTCACTGATAGGAATGTTCATTGAAGGCAGTTGAGTCCAATCAGTGCTCTCTCTTTGACTCTTGCAGGCCTTACCCCAGAGCCCTATCCAATTGGCTGAGATGATCTTTAATCTCCTTCTGGAAGAAAAAAGAATTCTGATCCAGGCTCAGAGAGCTCAAGTGGTGAGAACAATTTGCTGGTGATATTAAAAGCTCCTGGAGTAGAGGGACCATGGAAAGGACTCAGGGAATTGGTCTCAGAATAGAGATCCCCTAACCCTGGCCAGTTTGGCTCAGCGGTTAGAGCATTGGCCTGCGGTCCGGAGAGACCCGGGTTCGGTTCCCGCTAAGGGCATGTACCTTGGTTGCAGTTTGTCCCCGGCCCTGGTTGGTCGTGCGGGTGGCAGCCACTCGATGTGTCCCTTTCACGTCGATGTTTCTCTCTCTCTCTCTCTCTCTTACTCTTACTCTATCTGTGCAAAAAATGGAAAAATGTCCTTGGGTGAAGATAAAAAAAAAAAGAAAAGAAAAGAATAGAGATCCCCTAATAGCCTGTTGTATATTTTCAGGCCTGGATTTTAGGGATGAAAGGTCAGAGTTGAATATGCTCAGAGCCTCTTATTTCAGGAGCAAGAAGAACCAGCCCTCGAAGTACCTGTAGAGAGCCAGCAACATGAGATTGAATCCCGGATCCTGGAATTAAGGACTATGATGGAGGTTTGTGGATGTGGCAAGAGTCAGGGTGGGTAGGATGCAGCCTGCTTCCTCCCAAAGAAGCAGCCTCATCTGGGTCTCATCCCCAATACAGAAGTTGGTAAAATCCATCAGCCAACTGAAAGACCAGCAGGACGTCTTCTGCTTCCGATATAAAATTCAGAGCCAAGGTAGGAAGCACACTGAAGGGTGGGAAAAAGACAGGTTCCTGTTGGAAGGCCAAGGGTGGAAGAGAGCAGAAAGGAAAAGCCCTAGTAGTCCTGGCTGGTTTGGCGCAGCAGTTAGAGTGTTAGCCTGTGGACCAAAGGGTCTTGGGTTTGATTCCGGTCAAGGGCATGTACCTGGGTTGCAGGTTTGATCCGCAGCCCCGGTCGGGGTTGTGCAAGAGGCAACTAATCAGTGTGTCTCTCATATCAATGTTTCTCTCTCTCTCCCTCCCTTCTACTCTATCTAAAAATCAGTAGAAAAATATCCTTGATGAGCATTAACCAAAAAAAAAGAGAGAGAGAGAGAGAAAAGCCCCAGTATACAGTAATCACTTTTGACTACACCTCACTGGCTTCAGTCCTGCTGCCATGCAAAGCTAGAAATGCCAGGGTATGTTGTAGGGGTTGGGCTGGAGGTTGGCTGAGGGACAGCTAGTGAATGTTGGAGGAGATGCTTGGGAAATTGCCTTAGCAGATAAAGTAGACTTCTATTTCAAACTTGATCACTGAGAATTAGCCTGAGGTGCCTGTGCTTTGCTTTGGTTCCCGTTCCTCTCCCTTTGGAATTCCCCCTTCCTGTCTCTGATTGAGGTCCGGGTCAGGAAAGTGAGGGGAAAGAGCCCTAGATCTGAGCACTTGTCTCACTTCCTGCTCCTGCCATCCAGTAAGGACACCTCTGGACCCCCATCAGACCAAAGAGCAGCAACTTCTGCAGGAAACTCTCAATGAACTGGACAAAAGGAGAAAGGTGGGAGGCAAAAGACAGTGGGGAAGTGGGTGGCAGGGAACTCCAGGAAAATGAGGGACCTGGGAGCTCTGGCCTCTTAGCCTTGGCTTCTTTGTCCCTTTATCCCCAGTTGGATGGTGGAGGATGATGGTGAGAGGTGCTCAGCACTCACTTATGTCTTTCTTAGGAGGTGCTGGATGCCTCCAGAGCACTGCTAGGCCGATTAACTACCGTAATTGAGCTACTGCTGCCCAAGTTGGAGGAGTGGAAAGCCCAGCAGCAGAAAGCCTGCATTGGAGCCCCCCTGGATGGAGGGGTGGAACTTCCCCAGCTAGAGAAGTGGTAAGAGGCACCTCCCCACCTTCATGCTCACCCAGCCCTAGTCTAGCCACTGCTCTGTGCTTTGTAAGTTGTAATGCTCTGTATATGGCAAGAGGTATTGCTTTCTTTAATCTCTGCTCCCCAGAATGATCCTAGTTCCCTTATGACTACAGTGTGATCTCTTCTTCACTCTCACCACCCTGGAAACCCAGAGTCCTTCCTTTGTAATCACATGGGAAATATATCGTCTACTTTTATTTATTCAATGAATATAATGCAAAAAAAAAAGGAGATTACTTAGCACCTTACTACTCAGATATAGCTGCTGTAACATTATTCTTTTATTTAATTTTAAAAAATTCTTTTCTTTATTGATATTAGAGAGAGGGAGGGAGAGGGAGAGAGAGATAGAAACATCGATGCAAGAGAACATTGATTGGCCGCCTCCAGAATGCCCTGCACTGGGGATCAGGCCCACAACCTGGGCATGTGCCCTGACCGGAAATCAAACAGCGACCTCTTGGTGCATGGGTCAACGCTCAACCACTGAGTCCCACCAGTCGGGCTACTATAACATTATTAAACAAAATTTGAATCATACTATTCGTACAATTTTGAGACATGTGGGCTTTTTTTTGTTTGTCTCTTTTCTTTTTAATTTTATTTATTTTTTCAGATAGAGTGGGAAGGAGAGAGAGGAAGAGAGAGAGAGAGAAACATCAACGTGAAAGGGACATGAAAGGGACACAAGTGGCTGCCTCCTTCACGACCCAACCAAAGCCAGGGACAAACTGCAACTGAGGTACGTGCCCTTAGTGGGAACGGAATCCAGGACCGCAGGCCGACGCTCTAACCACTGAGCCAAACTGGCCAGGGCGCTTTATTTTATTTCATTTATATATATATATATTTTTTTGGTACATGCCCCTAGTGGGAACCAAACCCGGGACTCTCTGGTCCGCGGGCTGATGCTCCAACCGCTGAGCCAAACCGGCCAGGGCGCTTATTTTTTTTTTTAACTTAGCAGTGTATTATAATATTTACCCATGTTAGTTTCAATGGCTGCATTATAGTTCCCTATATGGAGGTAACATAATTTAATTAATGAACTCTTATTTTTGGATATTTAGGTTGTTTTTAATTTTCTATTTTTCTAGTAAACTTTTTGTTTTAATATTAATTTTATTGTAAAGTAATAAAAAAGGAATGTGTCCTTTAACATACTTGGAAAATACCTGTTTGCCCTGACCAGTTTGGCTCAGCGGTTAGAGTGTCGGCCTGCAGACCAGAGAGTTCTGGGTTTGGTTCCCACTGAGGGCATGTACCTTGGTTGCAGTTTGTCCCTGGCCCCAGTTGGGGTTGTTTGGGTGGCAACCAGTCGATGTGTCTCTCTCACATTGATGTTTCTCTCCCTCTCTCTTCCTCCCTCTTGCTCTATCTGAAGATAAATGCAAAAATGTCCTCAGATGAGGATAACAAATAATAATAAAGTGGTAAACATTTCTTTAAAAAAAAGAAAAATACCTACTGTTTTAAATATTTTCTTATGAGGAAATTCATTATAATTTAAACTATTAAAAATATACAGGTATAGCCCAGCCAGTGTGGCTCAGTGGTTGAGCGTCAGCCCATGCAGCAAGAGGTCGCTGGTTGGATTCCCAGTCAGGGCACATGCCCAGGTTGTGGGCCAAATCCCCTGTGGGGGGCATGCAGGAGGCAGCCAATCAACGTTCTCTCTCATTAATGTTTCTATCCCTCTTTTCCTCTCCCTTCCTCTCTCTCTAAAATCAATAAAGAAAAATATTTAAAAGTATATATGTACATATATACACAGACACACATACAGACAAATACATACATATATACATACACGTATGTCTTGGCCAGTTTGGCACAGCGGTTGGAGCGTCGGCCAGCTGACCAGAGAGACCCAGGTTTAGTTCCCACTAAGGGCACGTACCTCAGTTGCAGTTTGGCCGTGATTGGGGTCATGTCGGTGGCAACTAGTTAATGTGTCTCTCTCACATCAATGTTTCTCTCTCTCTCTTCTTCCCTCTCTCCCTCCTGCTCTATCTGAAGATAAATTCAAAAGTGTCCTCTGCTGAGGACAAAAAAAAAGTCAAGGGTTTAATTCTGGTCAAGGGCACGTACCTCAGTGGTGGTTCAATCCCCAGTCCAGCTCTTGCAGGAGGCAACCAATTGATGCGTCTCTCTCAAATCAATGTTTCTCCCTCTCTCTTTCTCTCTTTCCCTCCCTCCCCCCTCCTCCACCACTTTATCTGAAAATCAATGGAAAAATATCCTCAGGTGAGGATTTAAAAAAGACAGGTAGCCTTGGCTGGTGTAACTCAGTTGGTTGAGCATGGTCCCATGCACCAAGAGGTCCCTGGTTCAATTCCCAGTCAGGGCACATGCCCAGGTTTTGGGCTCAATCCCCGTAGGGAGCATACAAGAGGCAGCCTATGGATGTTTCACTCTTACATTGATGTTTCTATCTCTCTCCCTCTCCCTTCCTCTCTAAAAATCAATTTCGCCTGGCCGGTGTGGCTCAGTGGTTGAGCATCAATCCATGTACCAAGAGGTCACTGGTTCAATTCCTGGTCAGGGCACATGCCCAGGTTGTGGGCCCAACCTCCAGTGGGGGACATGTAGGAGGCAGCCAATTGATTTTCTCTCTCACTAATATATCTATCTCTTTCTCCCCTCCCTTTCTCTCTCTCTCTAAAAATTAATAAAGAAAAAAAGTTAAAAAAAAAAAAGTAAAAATCAATTTAAAAAATTTTGTTTTGTTTTGTTTTTGGTACGTGCCCCTAGCGGGAACCGAACCAGAACTCTCTGGTCCGCAGGCCAGTGCTCCAAACGCTGAGCCATACTGGCCAGGGCAAAAAATTTTTTTAATATTAAAAAAATATATAGGTGCCCTGGCCAGTTTTGCTCAGTGGTTGGAGTGTTGGCTGGCAGACCGAAGGATTGCAGGTTCAATTCCCAGTCAGGGGTACGTACCTGTGTTGCAAGTTCAGTCCCTGGTGGGAAGCAGCCAATCAATGTGTCTCTCACATTGCCATTTCTCTCTCTCTTTCCCTCTCTCTCTCCCTCTCTCCACACCCCTCTGTCCCTCCTTTCTTCCCTCCCTCCCTCCCTTCTACTCTATCTAAAAATCAATTGAAAAGTATCCTTGGTGAGGATTAACAACAAAAAATACAGGTAAATTGAAAACAGGTATATAGGGCTTCAGATACATGATCAGTATTTAAATTATGTAAATAGCCCTGGCCGGTTTGGCTCAGTGATTAGAGCGTCCACCTGCGGTCCGGAGAGACCCGGGTTCGATTCCCGCTAAGGGCATGTACCTCGGTTGCAGTTTGTCCCCGGCCCTGGTTGGCCCTGGTTGGTCGTGCGGGTGGCAGCCACTCCATGTGTCCCTTTCACATCGATGTTTCCCTCTCTCTCTCTTCCTCTCTCTCCCTCCCACTCTGTCTGTACAAAAAATGGAAAAATGTCCTCGGATGAGGATAAAAAAATAATAATAATAAATAAATTATGTAAATAACCTCATAACAACCTTTATTTACCTTTCTAACTATTTCTATAATGTAAGTTGCCAGAAGTGGTATTTCTGGGTCAAAGTATGTACCTTTCCTTGCTGGTGGTGATGGTGTTTTTGTGTTGATTTTTTTGTTTCATTGTATTTTTTTAATATATTTTATTTTGAGAGTATGTTAATTAAATCTGGGGTCAGTGAAACAAGGAAAGGCTTAGGATAGAAGCAGCAACAGGAGTGAGCCTAGGCAGGGCTGCTTTGGCTCTTCAGAAAAGTTACAGGAAAGAAGTGAGTCAAGGCAGTGAGCTGCTATCAGCTCACTGGAGAGTCAGAGAAAAGGGTGCCACGGAGACAGGATCAGGGGGCAGCCCTGGATGAGCTGCTGCTGCTCATTACTCCCCTGGTTGCAGGTTTCTTGGAGTCCCTTAGAGTTTAGGAGGTGCATGCCTGTCGAGGAAGAAGAGGGATAAGGGAAAGGCACGGGCTTCCAGGAGTGAGAGCTCAACTTGTTTCATTGTTTTTAATAAAAAGAGCTTTATTGCTTTTTCTAATTATAAATATAAAGTATACCAATTGAAAAAATTTCAAACAATTTAAAAGAGAAAAGAAAGTAAAAATAAAAAATCAGCCCTGGCCGGTTTGGCTCAACAGTTAGAGTGTCGGCCCTTGGATTTAAGGGTTGAGGGTTCAATTCCCGGTCAAGAGCATGTACTTGGATTGCAGGTTCAACCCTCAGCCCCAGTCGGGGTCATGCAGGAGGCAACCAATAGATGTGTCTCTCTCACATTGATGTTTCTCTCTCTCTTCCTCCCTCCCTCCCTCCCTTCCACTCTATCAAAAAAAAAAAAAAAAATCAATGGAAAAATATCCTTGGGTGAAGATTAAAAAAAAAAAAAGTAAAATCATCCGTTTGTATAATCTGATCACACAGAGGTAGGTACCCCTCTGTTAATGCTTTTGCATATATTTCCCAGATTTCCCCTATGCATATACAAAATAATGTGTCTATTTTAAGCAGAAGTCAAATCTTATATCTATACTATCATGTAATTATTTTTCATTTAATATTTTTGGGCATTTTTTTTATGTGAAATGTTGGAGCCTATATTATTTTGTTGTTGTTGTTGTTGTTAATCCTCACCCAAGGATATTTTTCCATTGATTTTTAGAGACAGTTGGAAGGAGGGAGACAGAAAGAGAGAAAAACATCGATGTGAGAGAGACATATTGATTGGTTGCCTTCCACACCACCCCAATCAGGGCCGGGAATCAAACCTGCAACCCAGGTACGTGCCCTTGACTGGAATCAAACTTGAGACTGCAGTCCTTGGGTTGATGCTCTAATCACTGAGCAAAATCATCCAGGACCTATATCATTATTATTATTTCTTTGGTATGTTTTTATCGATTTTTTAGAGAGAGAGGGGAAGGGGGAGAGAAACATCAATGTGAGAGAGAAACCTCAATCAGCTGCCTCCTGCACACCCCATACTGGGCATGTGTCCTGACTGAGAATCGAACTGGGACCTCTCAGTCCATGGGACAATGCTCAGTCCACTGAGCCACACCAGCCAGGCTATATCATTATTTTTATTTTATTTTATTTTTCTTTATTGATTTTAGAGAGGGAGAGAGAGATAAAAACATCAATGAGAGAGAACATCAATTGGCCGCCTCCTGCACGCCCCCTACTGGGGATTTGGCCCACAACCTGAACATGTGCCCTGACTGGAAATCGAACTGGCGACCTCTTGGTGCATGGGTTGATGCTCAACCACTGAGACACACCAGCTGGGCTACATCATTGTTTTTAGTGGTTGCATTTCATGATTTGAATATACTATTATTTATATACCTAATACCAATTGTTTCTAATTTTTCTATTACAAATAACAAAACTATGAATTAACTTCTTGGTACATTTGTCTGATTATTTTCTTAGGATCTGTGTTTAGAAATGGAATACTATAAAATGTACAGTAGTCCCTTGCCACTTCACGCTTGGACTTTTGAGGCTTCACTCTATCGTGGTTTTTTCAAATAGAGTGAAGCCGTGCAAGTCGAAGCGTGAAGTGGTGGCGAGGAACGACTGTATAAATAAAGAATCCTACTTCGTGGAAATGCATTTATCACGGTAGAGTCTGGAACTGATTAGCTGCAATAAATGAGGGCCGACTGTATGCACATTTTTTGAGGCTTTTTTTTTTATCCTCACCCGAGGACATTTTTTTGTTTTTTTGTTCAGATAGAGTGGGAGGGAGGGAGGGAAAGAGAGAGAGAGAGAGAGAGAGAGAGAGAGAGAGAGAGAGAGAGAGAAAGAAACATCGATGTGAAAGGGACACATCGAGTGGTTGCCACCCGCACGACCCAACCAAGGCCGGGGACAAACTGCAACCGAGGTTCATGCCCTTAGTGGGAACCGAACCCGAGTCTCTCTGGACTGCAGGCCGATGCTCTAACTGCTGAGCCAAACCACCCAGGGCTTTTTGAGGCTTTTTAAAAATTAGTTTCAAACTGCTATCCCAATTTATTTGCTTATATATAGTGTATGATTGTTTTCCTATCATCACATTGCCTATTACGTTTTTTTTAGAGAGACAATAAAGAATAGAAGTCAAAAGTATGAATTGAGCAGCCATACTGCCTGGGATTACATACAGTTTCATTCCTTACTAGTTTTATGACCTTGAGCATTTCACTTGACTTTTCTGTGCCTGTTTTATCAGCTATAAAATGGGGATAATGGTAGTACCTACTAAATAGGGTTGTTATGAGGATTAAATGCATTAACGTGTAAAGCACTTAAAATAAACAGTATATATCAAGCATCATATGAAAGTAAACTTTATTATGTTAATCTTTTATCAGTTTTAATATGAAAGTGGCTTTGATTTTCATTTCTTGGATTATGAATCATGTTGAATAATCAATGCTTTCTGGACTCTCTTTTTGTCCCAATCAGTTTCAAATTCTCCACAGAGTTAAAGAGGAACTATTAGAGCCTGTTTTGGGGCTCCAGGAAACTCATGGATTCTCTGTCCCTTGGATTCTATCACTCAGGTTCACAGATGCAGCAAAGCTATTGTTTCATCTGCGGCAGCTGTTGAAGGAGCTGAAGGAATTGAGTCGCCTAGTTAGCTATCAGAATGACCCTCTGACCAAAGGGGTGGACCTGCAGAAGGCCCAGGTTACAGAACTGCTACAGCGTCTGCTCCACAGGTTTAGAGCCAGGGAGGGACTTCTAAGGAGGGCAGAGGGAAGGAACAAGGGGAGCTATTCTTACAGATGCTGAGCTATATATTCTTTCCGCATCTCTCTTCCCAGAGCTTTTGTGGTAGAAACCCAGCCCTGTATGCCTCAAACTCTCCATCGACCCCTCATCCTCAGGACTGGGAGCAAGTTCACTGTCCGAACAAGGTTGGCATTTCAGAATTCATTCCTGATTCCTTTTTTCAGACCTGGCTCTATTTGCTTTCTGGCTTTACAGATCTTCCCACTCTTGGCTGTTTCTCCCCACCACCACCCCCAATCAACCTACCTCTTCTAATCTCTTCCCTTGTCTTCTTCAAACATCTGGTCTATCCAGGAAATTGAGGTTGACCACTTTCTCCCATCCACTTCTCTTCCCCTCAGGCTGCTGGTGAGACTCCAGGAAGGCAGTGAGTCACTGACTGCAGAAGTCTTTGTTGACAGGTAAGTTGGAGCAGGTGAAGTGTGGGACCAGTGAGTGGCCAGCATGTGGGCTGGTGGGGCAGAGGAGACACCACCTTTTCACAACAAGGCCCTAAAGCTGTGTTCTTCCCCTTCCATTCCTACCTTATAGAAAAAATAACTCATCCCTTTTGTTGAACCCTTGCTATGTGACATGCAGGTTGTCAAACACTCATGTAATTGTCTAGGAACCCCATGAGTTAGCTACCATCAATGCACCATTCAAATGAGAAAACAAGCTCAGAGAGATGATGATGTCTCTTGTGCAAGGCCACATAGCTAGTGAGCTGCAGATTTGGGTTTGAATTCAGATCTGTCTGATCCCAAAGACCAAATTCCTAATTTCTACACTTACTTCCCAGTGATTTTTTTTATTTATTTCTTTTCAGGAATCCTCCTCAATCGCAAAGGTACCTGACTGCAGACCCTGCTCTGTGCACTGCATGAGCTGCACAACCACATGCCGCAGCCTTGATAGGGCGCAGACAGGAGGGGTTGGTTTGGGTGCATATCAGCAGAGAGAGAGATGGAGAGGTCTGTTTGCTGCGGAATTTTAGAATAATTATGTTCCTGTCCATATATTTTTTTCCTCCTGGAATAGCTTCCGGAAGTTCAACATTCTGACCTCAAACCAGAAAACTTTGACCCCCGAGAAAGGGCAAAGTCAGGGCTTAATTTGGGACTTCGGTTACCTGGTAAGAAGCTGGTAGCTTATATTTCTAGTTCAATGGAGAAGGCTGGAGCAAGTTCCCACGCCTTGGGAAGTCTTGAGGGCAAAACAAGAGTTCCAGGGACACTGAGGTCCCTCCTCTGACATTCTGTCTTCTTCCCCTCAATTCACAGTCTCTGGTGGAGCAACGCTCAGGTGGTTCAGGAAAGGGCAGCAATAAGGTGAGGCCTGGACAGAGGACTGGGGGGCAGGAGGAACATGCCAAAGGGCCCTCTGATCACTGTGTCTTTGGCTGTCACAGGGTCTGCTGGGTGTGACAGAGGAACTGCACATTATCAGCTTCACCGTCAAATACACCTACCAGGGTCTAAAGCAGGAACTGAAAGTGAGTAAAAATGGAGAGCAGGAAGAGATGAAGCAGATTTAGGAGGAGGCATAGAGAGGGGTTAAACAGAAACCTCTCCAGGTGCAATAGTACCCCTTACCCCTGCCAAATGTCTGCAGCTAGAATCATCACAGCCTCCTCTGTGATTCCTGTCTTCTCCCCAGACGGACACTCTCCCTGTGGTGATTATTTCTAACATGAATCAGCTCTCAATCGCCTGGGCCTCGATTCTCTGGTTTAATTTGCTCAGCTCAAACCCTCAGGTAGGAGATGGGGCCAACAGGTGAAGGGTGGTGAGGAGGGGTGTGTGAGGACGCAGCTCTGAGCCATCCCGTCCTCTTCCCACACCTACAGAACCAGCAGTTCTTCTCCAGCCCCCCCAAGGCTCCCTGGAACTTACTGGGCCCTGCTCTCAGTTGGCAGTTCTCCTCCTACGTTGGCCGAGGCCTGGACCAGGACCAGCTGAACATGCTGAAGGGCAAGCTGTTTGGTACAGACCTTTCCTCTCATCCCCAGCCCTCTGTTCTTTCCATCCCAGGAGCCCTGGCCTTGCCTACTTCAATCATCTGAACTGTCTTTCTGCCCACAGGGCAGAACTCTGGGAATGAGGGTACTTTGTTGTCCTGGGCTGACTTCACCAAGGTAATGCCCTGCATCCTGGGCAGCTAGATCCTAGCCCCCAGTCCAAACCTCTCCCCACACCAAAGGAAACTCCGTATTTCTTCCTGCTTTTCCATTCCTCCTTCAGCGGGAGAGCCCGCCTGGAAAACTACCGTTCTGGACATGGCTAGACAAAATTCTGGACCTGGTACATGACCACCTGAAGGATCTCTGGAATGATGGGTAAGACCTTAGTCAGCCTCCCTCTCCCCAGGCCCAGCTGCCTTTCTGGACTTGAGAGTGGACTCTGTGCACCCTCATGTGGCAGATAGAGAGAGCAAAAACTGGTTCAAGGTCACACCTCCTCACATTTGCGATAATAGTCAGAGCCAGTATTTGTCCAGCACCTATAGTGTCCCAGAGCGCTTTGCTTTCATGAATTCTCTTGTAATCCTTACAACCATGCTGAGTGGTGGGTGTTGCCACCCTTGTTTTAGTGAGGAAACGAAGGCTCAGAGAAATTAAGCCTTCAGAGAACTTACCCCAGGGACCAAGTCTGCATTCAAACACAGGCCTGTCTGACCCCAAGCCTATGCTCTTTCCACCACACTGCCTGCCCATTCGCACAGCACTTTGCCTTTTACAAGGTGCTTTTCATCTATATGGCTTCCCTGAATCCTCACACCTCTTTCATCCCCGGGAGGTGGATATTGTCAGTGAAATGAAGTGACTTGGCCACAGTGGAACAGTTTGTAAATGGCAGAGCCAGAGCAAAAACCTTGCACCCTCTCCCTAGCCAAGGAAGCAGGGAGGCAGGAGAACCTCTCAGCTGCTTTCTCTGCTCCAGACGCATCATGGGCTTTGTGAGCCGGAGCCAGGAGCGCAGGTTGCTGAAGAAGACCATCTCTGGTACCTTTCTGCTGCGCTTCAGTGAAACGTCGGAAGGGGGCATTACCTGCTCCTGGGTGGAACACCAGGATGATGGTCAGCTACTCTATCCTGCTATTTCCATAGCCTCTCCTTTCTGTCCCTCTCCCTATCCTTGGCTTCCCTGGCTCTGTCCTGAATCCCTCAGCAGGTCTGGGTTGGGTGGGCAGGCAGGTGGGGAGCTCCCAGGCCCAGCCTCTTCTCTCAAGCCTGCCTGTTTCTATTTCCACTCTCCAGATAAAGTGCTCATCTACTCTGTGAAGCCCTTCACCAAGGAGGTGCTGCAGTCACTCCCACTGACCAAAATCATCCGCCACTACCAGCTGCTCACTGAGGAGAACATACCCGAGAACCCACTCTGCTTTCTCTACCCACGAATCCCCCGGGATGAAGCTTTTGGGTGCTACTATGAGGACAAAGGTGAACGTCATTGACATACTTCACTGGTAGATTGCAGGCATCCACAAATCTAACTGCTTCCTTACAATTATGGGAAAACCAATATCCAGAGAAATTAAAGGATGTGTTCGTGGGAGACTGCTGGTTAATAAGGAGATACAACTGTCACAGTCAACGGCCAGTGTCCCATCCACTGACCTCCCCACCTCTTGTATATGTACCCTACAGATAATCTCCATGAACGAAGGAAATACCTGAAACATAAGCTCATTGTGGTCTCTAACAGGTGAGATTAAACTCTTGGGCCGTCCTCTGTAAACCTTTTTGGCTGACGTAGGGAACCAACCTGCCCAATTCCAGTCTCCTGGCCTTCTCTCCTACTGACCCACACCCTCCAGTCCTCTAGGTTTCGTCCTGCTCTTCTAGTGTCTGTCCTCTCTGTTTTCCTGCTGCCATCTTTAGGTTGTCTCCACAGGGATTCCCTGATAATAATAGTCATAATCACTGATGTTAATAGACATCTGCTTGATGCCAGACTACTAGATACTTCTAGAACATTTTTTTTTGAAACTTCGATATAAGAGAGACACATCGATTGGTTGCCTCCTGCACTACCCGAACCAGGGCCAGGGACCAAATTGCAACTGAGTTACATGCCCTTGACCAAAACTGAACCCATGACTCTTTGGTCCACAGACCAACACTCTAACTGCTGAGCCAAACCGGCCAGGGCCATTTTTAAAAAATTTTTATTGTAATCTTTATGAGAATCTATATGAGTAGATAATACTAAAAGGAACACTTAATGAAAGTTTATTATGTACAAGGCACTGGTCTAAAGCTTTGTGTTCATTTTCTCATTTATTGAATCTTCGTAATGGTCCTGTGAGGCAGACACTGTTTTTACTGTTTTCAACTGAGGAAACTAAGGTTTAGCATAATAAAGTGTTATTGGCTGCTCAATGATCCAGATCTTTCAGATTCCAAAGCCCTGCTTTTAACCATCCTCCTGCCTCTCAAGTATTATTAGCTATTGCTCCCATTTTACAGATGATAAATCTGAAGCTCAGAGAAGTTAATGAACTTGCCTAAGGTCACCCAGCTAGTACAAACACTGGCAAGCCTGACTGCAAAACCTGTGTTCTTTTTTTTCTTTATTGATTTTAGAGAGAAAGGAAGGGAGAGGGAGAGAGAGAGAGAGAGAGAAACGTCGATTGGCCAATTCCTGCATGCCCCCTACTGGGGATTTGGCCCACAACCTGGGCATGTGCCCTGACCGGGAACCAAACTGGCAACCTCTTGGTGCATGGGTCAGTGCTCAACCACTGAGCCACACTGGCTGGGCCTGTGTTCTTTTTTTAAATTGATTTAAGAGAAAATCGAGGGGGTGGGGTGGGGAGGGAGAGAGAAAGAAATATCGATTTTCTGTTCCACTTATTTATGCATTCATTGGTTCATTTCTATATGTACCCTGACCAGGGATCAAACCCACAGCCCTGACATATTGGGATGATGCTCTAATCAACTGAGTTACTGGGCCAGATCAGAGGAAAGCCTATGCTCTCAAATCCTCTGCTCTGTTGACTTCTTAGACTAGAGAAGTAGCCTCTACTTGTTCTACTACTTCCCAGTTTACCTAAACAACTGAATCCTCCCCCTTTGTCTGTATTGGGGTATCCAGACAGGCGGATGAGCTACAACAACCGCTGGAGCCTAATCTGGAGCCAGAATTGGAGTCATTAGAGCTGCTCCCAGGGCTGGCACCGGGGCCAGAGCCAGGGCTAGGCCTGGAGTTAGAGCCACAGCTAATGGCAGGACTGGATCTGGGGCCACCACTGGAGTCCACGCTGGAGCCCACGCTGGAGCCCACACTAGGCAGGGTATCACAAAGTGTGCCAGAGCCAAACCTGGGACCAGAACTGAACCTGGAGCCTATTCAAGAGCCCTTTTCACAGCTGGTGCCAGAGCCAGATTTGCCCCATGATCTGAGGCACTTGAACACCGAGGAAATGGAAAGTAAGTGATGAGACGGGACTGGGGAAAAAGAGATACCTTTCCTTGTGATTCCTTTTATTAGGAAATGTACGCACCAGCCCAACCCCTGCCCCACCTAAGTGTCCCCTCTGTCCCTGTCCAGGCCTCTGCTGCCATCTTCCTCACTTTCCTTGCTGGGTTGGGAACTCCTTACCTAAGATCAGGGCCTAACTTCTTTCTCTGGACTATCCAGTCTTCAGAAACAATATGAAGATTGAAGACATCATGCCAAATGAAGATCCACTATTAGCTGGCCAGAACACCACGGATGAGGCTTACATCTTTCACACCAGCCATTTCTACGCAGATGGGCCCCTGAGTCCTTCTGACTTCTAAGAATTATGTTTTGTCTGTTTTTTCCATATCTTTTACCCCTACTAACCTCCACATCATGATGTTGCTCTCTAAGGATGGGAAATCAGGCATGTGCCCTTTCTAAGCTGGGTTAATCCCATGATTTGGAGTGAGAGATACAAGCATAATATGGATACAGAGGGGCACCAGGGAATCAGAACAGATGTTGGCCATAGCTCTAACTAGGATCCTGGAGGCTGCCTGCTGTGCTGGGAGGTGTGGTTTTAGGAACAGGCCAGGACAGTTAAGAGGTACTTGGAGGGCTCAGGGAAGTCACTTCTTTCCAGTATGGGAAGGATTTCAACATTTTAATAGCTGGTAAGACTAACCTGGTGCTCACTAGCATTGGCCCTCAGTGGGGAACTGACACATGATAGGATTTCATTTCTCCCCTCATGTCTAGGATAACCTTTTCCTTTCTTTTTCCTCTCACTCCTGACTCAAGTCCTAAATGTCCTATTTTCCTACAGGGACTGAGAGCTTCCTGCCTCAGTCACTATGTGAAGTTCCCCTCTGAGGAAGGGAGCAGGAAGTAGACCTCTTCTTACTGGTTTTCTCCCCTATCCCCCCAAGCTGGCTACACCCATTCCTCCCCTGAGAAATGACCCTGCCAGCCTGATGTGCCTGTGAAGCTTTGCACAATAACTTATTCTGCCTAGTCTCCACTTTCCCAGAGCTTAGGAGACCAGGGATGGTATGTTTGCTGGGAATATAGGAATTGCTTTGTATAGTATAGATATAATTTGGTATTTTTACAGAGGAAGAGAAGCTGGCTCTTGATATTTTTCTATTAAGATATTATCCCTTTCTTTTGTACGATATATTGTTTACCTGAAAAGATGATTTCCATTCCTTGGGCACAGACCTGGGCAAAGATCAAGTTTCTGGAACTGGAACTTAGAACCTTGAAGGTTTATCATGGAGCTCTGGACAGCCTCACACCTTAGCCATTCCCAGGGAACCCCAGGACAACTGCTATTGCTCTAAGATTACAATTCTAATCAAACTTGAGATGTCAATGAAAGTAAGGCCCTCTACATGTGGCTGTTTACTGCCTGGTATGTTAGAGCAGTGATTTCAACCTTTTTCATCTCATAGCACACACTCATTTCTAAAATTCTGTAGCACCTAAAAATACTTTTTCTGCCAATCTGACAGAAAAATAGGTATAATTTTGGTTAATTCACACCAGACAGCTATTGTGTTGGTTATTGTCATTTTTTTATTTGACAGTATAAGGGAAAAGAGGTCAGTGCCCCTGACTAAAGTCAGGTACTGTATGTTTTTTAAATTCTTGTAACACACCATTTGAAAATTGCTGTGTTAGAGGAACAGTACTATTCAGAAAGAGGCCCATCTGAGCAGAACTGGCTAATAAACTTTGTGCTGACCTAGAACCTAGAAGTGTTTCCTCTTTGAACTTATTTACTTCTCTGCTCACAAAGACTTATGTTCTTGAAGACACCAGCAGGCCAGCAAAGCATGGTCTTCCATCCACCCAGTTTGCCCCCTCTTATCATGTTTCTTCTTACCTCCCTGTTTAAAGCAGCATTTCCTGACCCTTAGATTCTTCTGGGAGGATGTAAGCTATATATAAGTGTGTGGGGGGCTGGGGCTGGGGGATAGTTATATAACTAGTTTATTGTTCCTTAACTGGTTAGTACCAAAGTCGGATTTTAAACCTGGGTTTGTCTGACTTCAAAGCCCATGTCTCTGTTTGATGTTGTGAATATGGAAAAAAAGAAGAGAAATAATCACTAGCCCCTTCCCATACTCTCTTTCAAAGGTAGTTTACTCTAGAGACTGTGTTTGCTGCCGCTGCCATGGCCTCGAGGGCATCAGATGCCTTGATGACTTGTATAACCCTGGTGGCCACGTTGCTGCACTTTTCCCATGGGTTAGGGGGGAGGCCAGAGGGGGTCCAAATGTTGCTCTAAGAACTTGGCCAACTCTTCCAAGGCCGTTGGGTTATGAGAACGAAATCTTCCCAGATCCCCCTCACTTCATCTTACCTTGGTGGACTCCTGACTGCAGAGATTTTTGGTTTTAAAAAAAAGCTTTGCCCTGGCCAGTTTGGCTCAGCGGTTAGAGTGTCGGCCTGCGGTCCGGAGAGACCCGGGTTCGGTTCCCACTTAAGGGCGCGTACCTCGGTTGCAGTTTGTCCCTGGCCCTGGTTGGTCGTGCGGGTGGCAGCCACTTGATGTGTCCCTTTCATGTCGATGTTTCTCTCTTCCTCCCACTCTATCTGAACAAAAAATGGAAAAAAATGTCCTCGGGTGAGGATAAAAAAATAAATAAATAAAAGCTTTTGGCTTTTCAGGGTTATTAAAAGGTACTCCTAAGAGCGAGGAGAGCTACCTATTAATGGATGTGTGGGTGTGCATTGCCTTACAGGAATTTAAACTCTGCCTTAGAAGGCAATGTATGTACAAAGCCATGTTGTCCTTTTACTCAAGTAAAAGGTATTTGAGGTCCTGCGAGGAGGATTGAGTTTAGCCATCTCTTCTCAATTGTTTCTGGTTTAGATCCAATTTATTTATTTTATTTTATTTTTTTTATCCTCACCCGAGGATATTTTTCCATTTTTTGTACAGATAGAGTGGGAGGGAGAGAGAGGAAGGGAGAGAGAGAGAGAAACATCGATGTGAAGGGACACATCGAATGGCTGCCACCCGCACGACCAACCAGGGCCGGGGACAAACTGCAACCGAAGTACGTGCCCCTAGCGGGAACCGAACCCGGGTCTCTCCGGACCGCAGGCCGACACTCTAACCGCTGAGCCAAACTGGCCAGGGCTATTTTTATTTTTTTAAATAGGTTTTATTAAATGGCAGTGGGGAATGGGGTTATGTTTACACCTTGGGGCCATAGGGCTACTTTACATGGAGATTCTGCACTTCTCCCTACTGGAATGTGGTTTTGGTGGGGAGTTCCTATCAATAGACTGCTGTGTGCAATGGGCCAGTGACCCCGAATTTTAGTCCTGTTCCATCGACATTGACCTATTTTGCTTTTATGAGCTTTTGACTGGAGAGCTGATTGATCCAAGGAATTACAAAAACTCCTTAATAACAAAGGCATTTATTCAACAAATATTTATGGAGTGCCTGTTGGGTGCCAGGTGCTGGGCACAGGGTGGTGACCAAAAAGGAAGTGGTTCCTGTGCCATGTTTCTGACAATCAAGTGTAGGAGGGACTCACTTTTGACATAATTTGTAGGATGCTTTAAAGCTCTGGGGTTGCCTGTTTGTGTCTCTTAGAGATTCTTGATTTTTAAAAAGTCACCATCTTTCTACTTGGTTATATTCCAGTTAGCTTATTGGGAGAGGGACGATAATGGGGAAAGGACCAACTGGGGGTCAGGGGGCGAGTAATGAGTTGCTGAATATTAGAGCTTAGCAGTTACTCTTCACAGGAATGATATGTCCTGATCCTGTCAGCCTGTGTTCTCTTTTATACGGCTATTACCCGTTCTCTCACATCTCTATCAGTGACTGTTTCATTTTCTCAATCCTTTTCCCAAAAGAGGTTTCAATTACATTTGTGCAGTAAAATAAAGTGACTCACAAAACAAACAAACAAAAAAAGCCCTGGTCGGTTTGGCTTAGCAGTTAGAGCATTGGCCTGCGGACCAGAGAGTCCCGGGTTCGGTTCCCACTAAGGGCACATACCTCGATTACAGTTTGTTCCCCGCCCCGGTTGGGGTCATGTGGGTGGCAACCGCACAATGTGTCTCTGTCACGTCAATGTTTCTCTCTTCCTCCCTCGCTATCTGAAGATAAATGCAAAAATGTCCTTGGGTGAGAATAAAAAAACAAAACAAAGGTAGTTTAGCTCCCTTCTGAAGGAGCCCACAGATATCCATTGAGGGAGAATCCCATTAGGGGGATTTACCTTTATCTTCCTGGAGTGCCCTTCCTGCTCAAACAGCTCTGACTTTTGATTCTGCAGTGATCGGGATTCCCGTCTTTGGCCAAATACACTCTTGGCCAAGAAAGCAGGAAAGGAGGCACTGGGTCAGAGAGCAAGAGGGGGTGGCCCATTTCCTAATCTCATCCCCTCGTAATCCCTTTCATCTTGCTTAGCCATACAGGGATGAAGACCAGAAAGATCTCAGTTACTGTACACACCAGGGGGTCAAAAGGAAATACCCTCTCACCATCTCCCTGCAGAGTAGAGGAAGGTTGCCTATTGTAGTCCCTTGTTCCTATTTTTTCATTTGTTTTATTTTTCCCAGTCAAACCTAGAAATTAGACTCAGATATCCACATAAATAAGTTTATTGAAAAAGTACATAATTAAGTATAAATAATAAATAAAACTCCCCCTTAAACTACTGCCAATAGAATAAATAATCCCAAATTTTCCCTTCCCATCTAATAAATACTCAACATGTCCTAGGTCAGTATCATAAGTCCATCAGTATTAGTAATTCTTCAACACATACAAGTCCCATTAGAATTAATGGACTGATTCACTTATTGGCTCACAGGTGCCTCAGCTGATAGGTTCATCTTAGCATTGTTGAGCCATGAAGAGCTGGATGCCATCCTTAAGCTGTTGGCTTTAGGGGCTCAGGGTTGCTGCTCCATGGGCAAAGACTCTGGCAGCTACAGCCACAAAGGCCTGGAGGCTGCGAAGGATCTTAGGGCGGAGAAGGAGGCGCTGCCACGGTTGGCTGGGACTGGGGCTTGGAGTCTGCTCAGTCTCCCAGTGGTGCCCCTCAGGCTGAAAGGACACGACACAATTAGGACTCTAAATCCTTCTCACACACACAGTCTGTCAGAGATTGCAAGCCACCATCCTCTAGGCCCCTAGTTCATACCTGCAAAAGTTGCCTGAGACCCAGTAGGGAAGTGTGGAGCTGGCTCACAGGGCCATTAGGGAGTACAGCAGGCTCCCCTGTGAAAATGTCTGAGCCCAGCAGCTTCTCATAAAAAACCAGGCCCTGGTGGATCCTTTGCAAACAGGACTGGGGAGAAAAAGCAGTGGAAAAAAAAATTGATACCCTCTTCCTATTCCATCCAGTTCTTTGCCTTTCCTAGACACAGGTATGGTCTAAATGGGTACCCACAAACATTCACATTGAGATCCTAACCCACAGTGTGATAATATTCGAGGGGGCCTTTAGGAGGTGATTAGTTCACGAGGATGGAGCCCTCATGAATGGGATTGGAGTTTATAAAAGAGACCCATGGAGCTCCTTAGCTCCTTCTGAGGATATAATCTGGAAGAGGGCCCTCACCCAACCATGCTGGTACCCTGATCTCCTTGGGCATGGATCTGGAGAAATTTATCTTTCACAGCTTCCAGAACTGTAAGAAATTTCTGTTGTCTATAAACTACCCAGTCTATGGTATGTTGTTACAGCAGCCTGAATGGACAAGGACACATACAACTTTTACTAATTCACCATGGTACCCAGCTATGTCCCCATTCCCTTCTTCCTTGTGGCCTAGCCTCATTTTAGTACCTGACTGTTATCCCTGAGTCCTTGGGGATCACAGCCATCCTCACACTGGATATGGGGCACATCACTTGTAATCTCGTCATCTTCCTTTTCTCCCGCGAATCTTGGTAGATCCTGGAATGGAGCAGAAGCATAAAATAAGTACTTTTGAACCCCACATTGACTCTCAGGCCCATGACTTTCCCAGGAACCCCACTCCCCTGTCCTCTCACTCCCTGATGGCCTTTAACCCTCCAGTTTCCATCTGAGGCCACAGAGTCTCCCACTGCATGCTGCCTTGGAGAGCTTGAAGAGGCTATTTTTTAGTCCCAAAGGCTGCCACTCACCACATGTCCCATTGGTGAATGTGCACTCCAAGCCAGTGTGCAGAGCTTCTGTGAGAGCTGCTGGCACTGAGCCCAGGCAGGGCTGCTGCCTTCAGGCACAGTCCGGTCCTGAGTGGTCCAGGGTGGCAACAGCAGCAGCACTAGAAGCATCACAGCTCTGCTCCCCAGCATCTTGGTGTCTGCTTCTCAAATCTGGCTGGCTCTGCCTTGCTCCAGTCCCTGTGAAATCTCTGCCCACTTCCCTTGCTCAGAGCCTGATATTCTCTCTTCTATGTGTCTCTGGTTTGGTTTCCTCTGTTCACTGAGGTTCTCAGCTGCTTCCCTTATTTTTCTCTCCTTGTCTCTGAGTCCCTTTTTAAGGTCCCTGTATTGTAACACCCGCCCTTTATACTAGCAGGTGACTCACAGCAGGTGGGATTCCCCTCCCTGCATCATACTCCTCTATGGGGAGCCCAGGTATGCAGCCTCAGTTCCAGGGGAAATGACTCTTGTGGTTGCTGTGGCTGGAGGCCTGGGATGGTACATATGTGTAATGCTCTCCAGGAATCGAAATGGCTTTAGAAGGGGTGGGGGGTGGGGGGTGGAGTAACGAATATTTAAATGAATCTAGTTCCTTCCTGTTTAACCTTTTTCTCATCTTTTTGCCTCTCAAAACTGTGCCCCACCCCCCAACCTAATTTCCTTACCTCCCCCTGCCTGAGGAAAAACCAAAACAGAAGCATTTATTTCCCAATAAGATGGCAAGCTTAGTTTGGAATGAAGTTTGGGTTCCCACTAGATGCCCTCTAAAAATAAGAGGGCTTCTTTTTCTCCATTGGTAACTTATTTTCACTGGGAGAGAATGGACATGAAGGCACTTTGAGAATTGGGCAGCCATATAAGTGAAGAGCACTTTGAGATCTGGTCAGCCATATAAATGCTGTCTAAAGTGTTACTGCTCCTCCACTTCAGGCCTCACTCTGGAGGGTAGGAGGGCTGTTGGAGGGAGGGACTTGTTGCTAAGAACCAGCTGATTCTTCAACCTTAGTGACCCAAAGGTTCATGGGCTCTGTGGGATGCAAGTGACAGTTTTGGGGGAACACCGGTGTAGCAAGTGCTAGAAGTCCAATTTAGATATTCCAGCCCCTATACCATGGCTAAGAAATCCAGGAATTCTGGATACTTGAAGGTGCATAGTGTCAATGACGCTGTCCAGGCCTTCAGCCTGTTGCATCCATGGGTAAAATCCGCTGACACTGATTTCATCACCCTCCCTGATGCAACATCAGTGAAACAGCTGAGAGTGTGAGGTTAGGCGTGGGAGTGGAGGGTGGTCCAAATCTGGGGCTGCCCCAACCCTAGTGGAGGGTCCCAGGACAATTTGGACGTCAGAATGAGGCCATGAGTGACCACACAGATGGCTTCCAAAGCCTCCCCAAGAGGTTGACCCTTTTCCTTTGAGAAACACCCTCGACAGAGGTCTCCCTTCCCTTAGAACAATTCAAAACTGCCCAGTGAAACTTCTGATTCAAATGTGACTTTCTGGTAAATTCACCCTTTGGATAAAACATCTCCAGCATTAGAGGCGTTACCTCAGTTTGAGTGAGGAATGGTTTCCCTCTTCCCACATATAGGCCTGGGGTTAGAGCCACTGCTAATGGCAGGGCTGGATCGGGGGCCACCACTGGAGCCCACGCTGAAGCTCACACTAGGCGTAGTATCACAAAGTGTGCCAGGGCCAAACCTGGGACCAGAACTGACTGAAGCTGGAGCCTATTCTAGAGCCTCTTTCACAGCTGGTGCCAGAGCCAGAGCCAGATATGCTCCATGATCTAGTGATGGCAGTGGAAGTAGGGGAGCTCACTTCAGTTTTGTATAGTTTGTCCTATGCTTTTTCCACCTCAGACACCCAATCTGGGAGCCTTAAAGGACAGGAGATGAAAGGTGAAAAGGAGGAGGAGGAAGTGAAGCCCTGGGGGATGAGATGAGAGGGACAAGGGTGAGCTGGAGGCATGGGATTCTGCTGCTTTGTTTCACTTCCTGGTGCTTTGGGAATTGGGTAGGAAGCAAGGTTTGTGGGGCGATTGTGGGACTGTCGTGTGGCAGGAACTACTTCCGGTACTTTATCTGACCTGGAGCTGCAAGGAGACCCTGACGTCAGCAGGGCTTTAACTGTTATGCAAATCACTTCACAAGATACTCCTAAGTAGACCTTTCCAGTTGGACACCCAGGCTCCAAATCCAGTTGAAGTTCCCCCAGGTGATTAATAATGATGGCTAAGACCTGGCTGGTTTGGCTCAGCAGTTAGAGTCAGACAGTGGAACAAACAGTCTCCAGTTCAATTCTGGACAAGGGAATGGTCAGTTGCAGTTTTGTCCACGGCTCTGGTTGGGGTCGTGCGTACAGGAGGCAACTAGTTGATGTGTCTCTCTCACATTGATATCTCCCTCTCTCTCTCTCTCCCTCCCACTCTATCTAAAGATAAATAGAAAAAAAATATCCTCGGGTGAGGATTAAAAAAAAAAAAAAAAGATGATGACTAATATACAGGGTGGGGCAAAAGTAGAGTTACAGTTGTTAATATGAAAGAATAATACAAGAACAAACTGTTTTGCAAACTCACAACTGTAAACCTACTTTTGCCTCAACCTGTATGTATATCCATTCTCACTTGATGCCAATACCCTGGAGCCTCAGTTCTCAAACTTAATTCATTCCAGAAGGCTGTTCTGGAAGCAATTTGTTTGAAAACTGAATCATTCTTTCCCATTAGAAATAATGTAAATTGGCCCTGGCCGGTTTGGCTCAGCGGTTAGAGTGTCGGCCTGCGGTCCAGAGAGACCCAGGTTCGGTTCCTGCTAAGGGCGCGTACCTCGGTTGCAGTTTGTCCACAGCCCTGGTTGGTCGTGTGGGTGGCAGCCACTCAATGTGTCCCTTTCTTGTCGATGTTTCTCTCTCTCTCTCTCTCCCTCCCTCCCTCGCACTCTGTCTGAACAAAAAATGGAAAAATGTCCTCGGGTGAGGATTAAAAAAAAAAAAAGAAAGAATGTAAATGGAATTAATCCATTCCAGACCCCCAAAAGCAAAAAAATAACAAAAAAACATGAAAATATTCACAGCACAATTTCCTGAGATGTTAGCAATGCGAAGTTTAGCAGTAAACTGACTCATACTTGTGAATTCTCTCCTAAAAGACGTGTGCCTGATCATATAGGTCAGCATGAAATGGTTGTCGGATCGAGAACTGAAATTTTGTTCAACAACCCTTTAATGCTGACACCTGTATTATCAGTCTTGTGTCTCTTGGTCTATGACCTCTTACTGAGTCTAGGACCGTGCTGAGTCCTAGAAGTGTAAATTCTGGGGTCCTTTTATGAAGGTCTATGTACCAGCCTTTATTGGGGGAGAGAAATGTTTTAAAACTGTATTCTCTGTGAGTAATTCCTTCCACCAAAGAAAAAGAAGCCCTGTATGTGGCCTTTAAAAATTGAGTTAGCCCTGGCCAGTTGGCTTAGTTGATTGGAACACAGTCATGTGCACTAACAGATTTCAGGTTCAATTCCCAGTCAGGGCACATACCTAGGTTGCAGGTTCAATCCCTGGTTGGGGCCCATACAGGAGGCAACCAATTTAGGTTTCTCTCTCCCCCCCCCCCATCTCAAATAAATAAAAACATATTCTTGGGTAAGGATTTATATATATAAACTGAGCTAAGGTGGCTTGGAGTCATCTCACAACCTGGATCCATTTCAAAGCAGTTAAAGCTCAGAGTTAGGCCCCAAGAATTCCTCAGAAAAACTGTTGACTGCTAAATCTGTAAGAGTTTTGGGAAGGCAGCACATGGGGCACGCCCACTTGAATCTCCTTTGCCAGTGAATTTTCTTTCTCCTCAACTCTAAGGGTCCCCACAAGACTTTTGGGGAGAAAGGGCCAATGGCAGTTAGTCCCTGGCTAAAGGCTAACTCCCTGAACCTATCTCCAAGGCCCCCTTTTCTCTGACTCTCCATGGAGTAGAAAGTACCTTCACCTAGGCTGTCTCCTAAAGCTTCTTTTATCCTAGGCCCTTCCTTTTTTTTTTTTTTTTTGATATTTTGTTCAGATAGAGTGGGAGGGAGAGACAGAGAGAGAGAAAAACATCGAAGTGAAAGGGACACATCGAATGGTTGCCACCCACACGACCCAGCCAGGGCCAGGGACAAACTGTAACCGAGGTACGTGCCCTTAGCGGGAACCGAACCGGGGTCTCTCCAAACCGCAGGCCAACGCTCTAACCACTAGCCAAAGCAGCCAGGGATTGCTTTTTTTTTTTATCCTCACCCGAAGACATTTTTCCATTTTTTTGTTCAGGTAGAGTGGGAGGGAGAGAGAGGAAGAGAGAGAGAGAGAGAAACATCGACATGAAAGGGACACATCAAGTGGCTGCCACCCGCCCGACCAACCAGGGCCGGGGACAAACTGCAACCGAGGTACACGCCCTTAGCAGGAACCGAACCTGGGTCTCTCTGGACTGCAGGCCGATGCTCTAACTGCTAAGCCAAAGCAGCCAGGGCTTGCTACTGCCTTTTTTTTTTTTTTAAGACTGTTTTCTTTTTTTAAAATTATTTTTCCTTTTATTGATTTTTGAAAGAGAGGGAGGGAGAGGGAGAGAGAGAAGAAACATCCATGAGAGAGAACATCGATTGGTGGCCTCCTACATGTCCCGGACTGAGTATTTGGCCCACAGTCTGGGCATGTTGTCCTGACGGCGAATCAAACCAGCAACCTCTTGGTGTATGGGTGGACGCTCAACCACTGAGCCACACCAGCCAGGCGGCCCTTCCTTTTTTCAATGTCCCCTGCTTTATTAAAGATACTCTAGAAATAAAATTTTTTAAAAATTGGGGAGATGGAGGGGTGGCAAATGTCTCAGTTTGCCCATGCTCATGCCCTGCTGAGGGATAACGTCCAGCTCCAAGAGCTGGGGAAATTTGAAAGCTGAGGGGTCCTGCTCCCTGGAAATATCACGGGGCCTCTGGGAAGGTCATAATCACAGATGGGAGTTTCAGATGGATGCCTTCAGAATCTCAAAAAATGCAGCTACTTGGGCCACGTTAGGAGCCTGGCTCCTGCTTCCTTTTTTCTCTCCCATGTCTCATGTCTGGAAATGATAGGAAATGCCACCGCGAGTTTCGGGGGCAACAGGGTCAGAGGT